CAGGGGCATAATAATCACTATACTATCGTTGCCTGGGTAGGCTTTCGTGATAGAAAACATTTCAGGACTTATCAAGATCGGCTATCCAATCTAATCAGACGTGCGACTGAATACTATACAATATGGTCTGGAGCCACTGACGTAAATCAACCGTAATTTTCGCTTTCTTAAATATCTCAACCCCGCCATGCTGAATAGTAATGAATTTGACCATAAATGATTATCTAAATTCCAGACTCATTTTCCCGGCCAGCTCAATTTCGACATTGTTGATCCACATCGACTAGAATTGAACCAGCCGTCATTGTCTTTTAGCATTCTGAAAATTAATCCAAATTTTCTTTCAGCAAGTCAACTGCGTCGGACACGACAGAAGGATTAAGAAAAACAGACGGCGGACAACCTGCATTTCCTGTTGTTTGTTATGTTAACAGTTGAACGGCAGGTCCCTTGAACGGGGGTTAAACAAAAGTCGATGGTGCCGGATGAACCATGTGTGTGGTGGACCACACAGCGTCTTCGACTGCGTCAAAATCAACCAAAAACTTCGGAATTGACATAGTCTGTTCACTCAAATCCTCCTCAAGTAAGCAATCACGAAAGAGTCAGAACGGAAGATGGTTGCCTTGATAATGCGGAGTTTACAGGCCGGCTGTGTAAACTCTCGTGCCCCAAGGCGCCAAATAAATTTTACACGGACAACAATTTATGATGCTGAGCCCTTCAGACATTGTACTTTAAGCCAGCGAGAAATTTGATGAACCACAAAAATATCGTAAACACCTGTGGAATCTACGTAATATGTAAGGTTAAATTAAAAACTCGTTTTATTTGGGCAAGGAACAAGGCTCAGAGTAGTGAAGACGCTAAAGTTGGCATTTGAATATAGTAAGCCATTATTATTTTAGGATTGGCTAGCTTATTAATCGTAACTTTATTGTGAAACGTTTGTAAAACTAGTATTGATGGCAAGGTGGTAACCGGTAAAGCCGACAGTTTTGTCATAAGGGGCCGTAACATGGAGGAATGGCTTTGCTTTGCGTATGATGAAACATGCATCCCGGTTAAATCTGGGCTGCAGACGCATGTGCTTGATTGGTTCCCTGCATGTCTAATAACGTCTAGCCCTGATTAGAAGTCCATTGAACTTCCAAGCTGATATTTCATAGTTATTTTAAGTGGTTGTTAACATAAACATAGTTTTCAGGTTTGCGAACAATGAATGTTAACTCTTTCAGGTTAGACGACACAACGTTATTCAATAGCCGTAACATCACGTCCCCGAATTGTGACTAGGATGTTTAGCATCAAACGTTTGGGAAAACAAGCAAGAGACGTCTATTTTACAGCGGATCGCCGGCTTGCTGGCAGCTGTTATTGTATAATGGCTGTTTTGCGGCTGGAGAGTAAGCAGTAGGAGTGGCTAAAATATGACGTCAACTGGACTGATGTTTCGATCCATCTTAATCGTTACCTTATTGCTCCCTTCTTACCTATTCATAGAGATTGTCTAAAGCTACCGTAAAATCTTCTCAATTGCGTTTTTATCTCTAAATAGCTGCAACACATGGAGGACTGATCAAATTAATCTAACCTATATTGCCTCTTCAAAAATGTATTGATGCAAAATTTAGTAATAGAACTTAAGGTGTATTGAAAGCATTGTGGAAGTCTCCAAATGTGGTCGCAAAACAATTCCCTGCTCATCGAAAACGAATAGTGGAAGTTAATTTAGAAAACTGAGGTCAATGATAAGTAATAAGAACATTTTCAAAATCTGCGTCGAGACCCAAAGACCGATGTAAAATTTACGAGTAGTCTTAGAATATTTCGGCATTTCGCTCTTATAACCTCCTTTGAGTCTCAACATTGGCAGCAGACACATGTTCGCACGAAACAGCAGACAGACAGACGTTATCGCCAAAGTAAGGAACCCTGTAATTGACTCATCATGACAACGACGGGGAATGCCCTCGAATCCCACCCACGCTAGGTCTCGTCGGTAGCCTCACCTTCCAGAACTCACGCCTCTATTAGATTGCCGAGAAGAAAGGTCCTGTCCTGTTATCAGCGTACAAATCTCCTCTGTGTCACTTCATCATACAGGATCGGATACACACGCGCGGTGCTAATTAGAATGTATCTTACTTCTTAAGTCTTTGGGGGTAACACACTCAGTACGCCGATGTTTCCCGAGTAAGCCGAATGTTGCAGAGCAGACTGCAGTAAAACCTACCTTAGGTTTGTCACATTCAGTGAGTGGCCGATTTTAATGAAGTGGTAGACGAAATTCTGAGATGTGTCTTTCATTAGAAACTATTTTTAGGTGGTTTCATATATTGACTATCATGCAGCATAATCCTACAATAGGACAAACTGACTTTCAGCTGCTCTTCCTTGTTTTCTGCCATAGAAACGGTACTCGGAAAAATGACTGCTTAAATAAGATGCATTTCTTCACATTGACCTAAGATCGCTTTATAAATTGTGTCAGATTTTATAGAAAAGTGTCCCATAATCTGTTTCGTTAACTCATTGGGAAGTAACTTGTGTGCTATTAAAATATTATAGTCGAAAAAGGGCGCATTTGTATTTTTAAAATTTTTTTATTATGAGATTTTTAAGGCCGCGCAATGCCTCTCCGAACGCCGTCGTACCTGTTATTTTATTAATGTTCCTCAGGAAAACTGCAACATCCATTGCAAGATTTCATCAAAAACTACATGGTATCTTCTTAAAGATATTGAAGATTATATAATTTTCCTTTTGTGCAAAATATACACCCTGTAGACCGAAACTGCTAAACGCCAGTGAAATGAGCAATCTGGCCCAAGCATTGAGCAAAACTGGTAAACTTTTCAAAACCTAAATATACCTGTTCGTCGAGTATGTAATGCAAAGACAGCACAAAGTTCTGGCAAGTTAGCTAAACAAGTGTTTTGAACATTTCCTATAACGTCAGCTAAATTTATAGGACCATTGATAATTAATGTGAAAACTGTATAGAACGTAAGTAGTCATTTTTATTAGATGCGATTTTTTCCGGTAAACAAAGAGAAGTGCATTCAAAGTCTAAAATCTTGGCGAATTCGGATTAAAATAAGGCCCAGGGGCATAATAATCACTATACTATCGTTGCCTGGGTAGGCTTTCGTGATAGAAAACTTTTCAGGACTTGTCAAGATCGGCTATCCAATCTAATCAGACGTGCGACTGAATACTATACAATATGGTCTGGAGCCACTGACGTAAATCAACCGTAATTTTCGCTTTCTTAAATATCTCAGCCCAGCCATGCTGAATAGTAATGAATTTGACCATAAATGATTATCTAAATTCCAGACTCATTTTCCCGGCCAGCTCAATTTCGACATTGTTGATCCACATCGACTAGAATTGAACCAGCCATCATTGTCTTTTAGCATTCTGAAAATTAATCCAAATTTTCTTTCAGCAAGTCAACTGCGTCGGACGCGACAGAAGGATTAAGAAAAACAGACGGCGGACAACCTGCATTTCCTGTTGTTTGTTATGCTAACAGTTGAACGGCAGGTCCCTTGAACGGGGGTTTAACAAAAGTCGATGGTGCCGGATGAACCATGTGTGTGGTGGACCACACAGCGTCTTCGACTGCGTCAAAATCAACCAAAAACTTCGGAATTGACATAATCTGTTCACTCGAAAGCCTCCTCAAGTAAGCAATCACGAAAGAGTCAGAACGGAAGATGGTTGCCTTGATAATGCGGAGTTTACAGGCCGGCTGTGTAAACTCTCGTGCCCAAAGACGCCAAATAAATTTTACATGGACAACAATTTATGATGCTGAGCCCTTCAGACATTGTACTTTAAGCCAGCGAGAAATTTGATGAACCACAAAAATATCGTAAACACCTGCGGAATCTACGTTAGATGTAAAGTTAAAATAAAAACTCGTTTTATTTGGGCAAGGAACAAGGCTCAGAGTAGTGAAGACGCTAAAGTTGGCATTTGAATATAGTAAGCCATCATTCTTTCAGGATTGGCTAGCTTACTAATCTTAACTTTATCGGGAAACGTCTGCGAAAATTGTATTGATGGCAAGGTGGTAACTGGGAAAGGCGACAGCTTCTGTCATAAAGGGCTGTAACAGGAATGAATGGCATCGCTTTTCGTATGATTAAACATGCATCCCGGTGAAATCTTGGCTGCAGACGCATGTGCTTGATTGGTTCCCTGCATGTCTTATGACGTTTTTCCCCGATTAGAACTGCAGTGAGCTTTTAAGCTGAGATTTCCCAGTTATTTTAAGTGGTCTGCGAACTATGAATATGAACACTTTCACGGAAGACGACACAACGTTACCCAATAACCGTGACAACACGTCCCCGAATTGTGCCTAGGATGTTTAGCACATCAAAAGTTTGGGAAAACAAGCAAGAGACTTCTATTTTGCAGCGGATCGCTGGCTTGCTGACAGCTGTTATTGTGTAATGGTTTAGGCGGTGACGTATATGTTTTACTGCTGAAGAGTAAGCAGTAGGAGTGGCTGAAATATGACGTCAACTGGCCTGATGTTTCGATCCATTTTAATCGCTACCTTATTGCTCCTTTCTTACCTATACATAGAGATTGTCTAAAGCTACCGTAACATCTTCTCAATTGCGCTTTGAACTGTAATCTTCCACGCCCACCCTTAGAATGATTAGGTGTTTCGTCAGAGGAAAATCGAAAGAATTCCCCTTTCTTTCTTTGACTAGGCTGTAACAGAAACGTTTTCTTGAGCAAAACTTTTTATTAATATTTGTTTTGATACTCTGCTCGTCAGTTAGGTAAAATATTGGATGTTGTGACTTTAGGAGGCACAAACATATGCATACAGTCAAAAACGGGAAATAAAGACGTTTAAACAATATAAGTAACCAGTTACGCTTGGCGTTTTGAGCATTGACTTTTGAACAAATGAACCCTTTACATACGCACTTCTGTTAATGGGTCGAATAGAAAACAAAATCAATTGCGTGCTACTTGCTAACTATATCGCTCAGGTCAAGAGAATGTCTGTTTGGCCGATATTTCTCTCTGCTTTTACGTCCCAGGGAGGTTGCGGATGTGGAGCAAGGGAAATGGACAACGATGGCATCAAGTAAAGGGCTGTACGGGGCGTCAGGGAAAGCGCCATTAAAGTCCTTTACAGGTGTTTTGTTCAGTACGACAACAGACATCTCATCATTCAGGTGACTCGATGCCGTCTGCTCGGGGGGCAGCGAATTTTGGGGAACGGACTGGGAGGGCGAGGTGTCGCAGCCCGGTGGGGAGATGCTGGCTGACTTATCCGGGTTGCCGCAGTCCTGGACGCCGTTTGGATGAGAAGTGACTACAGCTGAGATGCCTGTCACTTCCTTCAGTTTGTAGTATAACGCCGAACGAAGAAAACGTATGTAGGGGTCCTTTTCCATCAGAGCCTCAATCCGCTTCTGGCAGGCATCGAAGAGATCGGGCCCTGCCTCTGCAAGACGGGCCTCCGTTTGCAGTCTGGTCTCGCAGTCTAGATTCACCTTTTTCGATAGTGCAAATCAGATGACGTTCATAATTTGTGTATATGTAGGGTCTCAGAGTTTTAAAAAATATAATTTTAAAGGGAGCACTCGAATAGAAAGCGATCTGCACGATTGTGATATAATGGCAACCTGCGCAACGCTAACCTGAAGGATTATCATTACGGTGATCTCACTGTTGTGTGAACGTTTAACAGCCAGAGCAACAGACTACAATGAATTCATATCATTTCATTTGAAGCGAAGTAAGCATTGTTTATGCTGATGTTTCTGTTTCCAGTATATGACGTATTATTGGTAAAACCTCCTACGATCGAATGCAAGGCTGTATTTCGCGTTTGGAAGCGAAATGAATCCGTTTAGCCACGGCCATTCAATGGGCACAAAAGTGGAGTCCGTCGGGAGGATCTTCCATTATTAAATATAATTTTTCGGGAGTTGGAGTAGAAAAACAATTATTTTCACTAGTGTCCTATGACGGCATGTCGTCTAAGTGAGTTCATTCGAATTATGTCAGGTTGCACACTACTAATATTTAGAACATTGTGTCAAAGGTAGATATTAGTTTAACCCGATTAAGTTGCGCCCACTGTATTGCGGTAAGGAAACGTTAAGAAGTGAACCCTAAATAGATTGAAGAAATTAGCAATTTTATGATATACGTTTCCAGACACTAATTTGAGGGCTAAATATTAACTGCATTATATATAACTACCGAACCATAATACAATTTCTGGAGGGCAAATGCGCGTGCGTTCAAACGGGGAACACTATTTCAGCAAAACAGTATGAAATGCAGTATTTCACTGCTTTGGTACTGTCCTTCTTAAAAGTGCAATAGCCACAAAAAAGAATAAATGCGCTTTTATATTGGTATACGGACAACAATTATTTTATCGATATAAGTATACAGACACACAACACGAAATTAAATATCCCTTCTGTTATGACAACTTTTTACGCGTTATTTCCACATTTAGAAGCCGACCAAATAAATCACTATTGCAATTCCACCTAAGTTATCAAAAATATGTTACTCAATGTTTATAAACTTCGGAATATATTTTGCAGCCATACATTCAGTGAATGTGGATTTTTGTGAAAGGCAGTACGGCAATACGTCCTATAGTAATTGTCTGATACCATACTTTTGCCAGCGGTTGCAAGTGAGTACATTTTCATCAACTTGGTATCAATCGAATGGGTAGCTGATGTTCTATGACAAATGACAGATCCCCCACCTCCTAAGACCGAATGCAAGGCTGTATTCCCCGTTTGAAAACGAAATGAATCCGTTTCACCAAAGCCATTCAATTGGCATAAATATGGAGTCCGTCGGTAGGATGTTTCATTATTAAATATGATTTTTCGGGATTTGAAGTAGAAATAAACAGTTGTTTTCACTCGTGCCCGATGACGACATGTCATTTAAGTGACTTTATTCGAATTATATTAGGCTCCACATTACTAATATTTAGGAACTTATGTCAAAAGTAGGGATTAGGTTACCCTTATTAATGTGCGCCTATTGTACTACGGTAAGGGAATGTCAAGAAATGAAGCCTAAACGACGGCCGACATTCTGCAATAATAGATTTTTAAAGATATACGTTTCCTGACACTAATTTGAGGGTTCTTTATTAACTGCCCTATATATAAGCATCAAATCATCTTAATGTTTATGCGGTCAAACGCGGAACACTAGATCAGCAGGACAGTATGAATTTCAGTATTCCATTGCTTTTAGTAATTTCTTTCTTAAAATGCAGTTTATCCCAAAAATTGAATTAATACGCTTTTCTGCCGGTATTCGGACAACTAATAGTTTATTTATGTGAGCATATAGACACAAATAACGAAAGTTAATTCCTCTTTTTCTTACGACACATTTATAGGCGTTATTTGCACACTTAGAGGCTGACCAAATAAATCACTAATGTAATTCCATTTAAGTCACCTAAAATATGTTAGTCAATGTTTATAAACTTCGGGATATAGTGTGTAACCGTACATTTAAAATATGTGGATGTTTGTGAACTGCCAACACAGCGAGACGCTATTTAGTGTTCGCCTAATATCATAAGTTTGCCAACGGTGGCAATTGAGGGCATTTTCATCAACCTAGTATCAAACAAAGGGGAGAGCTGATGTTCTATGACACCTGTCGGATTTGTTCATTTTCTCGTTTTAAGAGTGGCCTCATGACACATTAATTTATCTCCTCTGCTGCAAATAGCTTTGGCTCAAAGGCAAGTGGGTCACCGTATTGACACATAATCATTCAAAATGACAGTCATTTCAACTCAGCCATGTAACATTAACTAGCCAAATGTGTGAGATTAATGTTTTGGTCTACTACCGTGTAACCACACATTCATGTATGTTCTGAATACTGACACTGTACGTACCAGTAATGGGCGTGTTCTGATAGCCATAAATTTTACCAAATCTGCTGTTCAGAGTGTGGAGCAGGGGTAAAGCAGGGTCTACTGACCAAAAATTAACGCGCTTATAGTCAACAGCGCAAAGGACATTGAGCAAAATTCACGCCAGCAAAGTCATTAGCCTATTTCATCTGTCTGCGCACGACATATCACAATATTTCGGCAGCAGAATGCGCATTAAACCTTGCATCGGCCGAGTGATATAAATAAAATGGGAAATTATCATTGTAGTCGCCCTATTTATGCTCCTTTCGTATTGCTTATGACCTTCATAAGTTATCTGCAGACACTGGCTTGCTTGAAAGTGTGTAACATCGTAGGTTACGCAGATCATGTGTGTGCTTCCTAACGCCTGTTGACTGCAACCCGTTGACGCAGCTATTCAAGATACTATCCCTGAATTTGTCTATCGCTCTATTTCGCAAACCCTCTGTAAAATGATTGGCAGAGAAAAAATTTCGTTTCACTCTCGGGTTCGTTAGTTAAAAAAACCCAAGCATTTTCTGAAATTGGGAACGGCAACATTGGATCCGGCAACGGCTTCCTCGTTGGTTGCCACTTTGGGAGGCCATGATATTATTTTCCCAGAAGCAATGCAGATAAAATCCATTACAATGTTCCATATTATCGGATAGGACGATGATAAACAGGTTTATCAAATTGCGTTATTTCATACAGTTCATCGTATTTGCGTCCTGTAAACTACAGTAGTTTACTTAATGCGACAAGTTAACAAACGCAAAAGTTTAAACCATTTGTAACGATTTTTAATTTTTCAAATGTTTGCTGGATTACGAAATTTCGTACACTTACATAGTTCGAAGGTCATTACCCGGCATCATCTAGGATGATTTGGGCTAGATCGCCAATTTTCCAGTCTGCGAGTGTGCCATCTTAAGCACTTGAAACGCATTACAAGTGCTTTATGAGATCTTGACTATATATAAGTGGGTGCTACATTTTAGCACTGCGCACTGTGAACAAATTTTTTTCACATTTGTTTGCTTTTGCACTGATGCACCTGCGTTTGATCACAAACTGGGCTGGCGTTTATTTTTCGAGGGTTTTGGGTCGCATATACCTGCCGGAGTTCGTTTTATCATAATTTAAATATCTAACGACAGGAGGACACAATCTTCAGACGGGGCTCATTTGACACGGAGCCTGCCAAGAGTTGTGTCTTTTCTCCTATGACTCACTGAAAAGTCATGACGATGGAGATTAAAGCTAACTCTCTCACACAAGTTTTGAATGGTTGTTTAAAGCGTTAACAAATGTTGAATTATTAAACGCCTGGTTTTAGGGTAAAAAACACAAATAATAACTTTAATGTACAGAGGCGTACGCCATCGTAGTAGGCGAGAACGACATACCTCACGCTGTGATTGAAAGGCAATGAACGTATCGTATATTCTCTGCGCTTGATCCTTTGAAGTGTTCCCAACCTTCAGAGCCTTGTACTGTTGACAGGCTACCCAGAACTCGATATTTTCGTCGCTAAATTCACCACGAAGAAACTCTCGAAAAACGCGCAGGCCATCTATATTTGAGAAAGAAAAAACACTTCCTGTAATTAAATTCTAAATGTTCCTCCTCTCATTCTCATGGTTTCTGCTTTGATTTGTCCGGTGGGGTAGAAAATATTCCGTAAGTGTTTTAAGTACAAGTATCCATTCGCGGAATTTTATGGCCCTCCAACTTACCTTTTACGCCATGGAGGTCTCAGACTGTTTTCAAAATAACTCTCCGGCTTATAGTCCAGACGTGATCAACCGTTACATACACACATAGGTAACATGCGTGCTATCTAGATTAGTATTTTTTGTCTAAAAGGTAAACCACCTTTGTGGTTAGTAAAATAAATCTAACGTTGTTTTATGTAGAGTAGCGAAAATTCCCAGTGTAGAAATCAAAAGGCAATTTGGCCAGCATACGTCTGCTTTCGATAAATTCTCTTCAGGCCTGCACATGTATATGGCTAGGGAAGTAATTATTTAAAAGACACGGGCAAGTGGATAATTATGCTGTACATCGGGTTTGGGGAGAGGAGGGTAGGGAAAGAGTGAAACACTGCAGTTCCAGTCATTGTCAGGGAGAAGGAGGGTCCCCACGACGGTAATTACATGCGGACGGATGATTTGGTGGCTTTGACCCATGACAACTGTTGGACCTGTATGAAGTTCTTCTGTGCGCATAGGATCGGTTCGCTTAGCCTGATTGCAGCCGCCTCTGCCGTAATCAACAAGCGCTGCCTAGGTAATTTTGCATAGCACTATGGGACCTTGTACATTACTTTGAAGGCCTCTCTGGCGTCTACACGGTTGTCTGTGTCTACCGTGTGCACGAGGATCGAGCTGCTGATGTTCTTTATTTGACCATTTCCTAACCATGGTGGAATATGTTCGTTTCTTCTTTCGGATAACCGCCGGCTGCTGCGACCAATATATTCTGTCCCACAGGAGCAGGTGAGGGAGTAAATACACATAGAAGTGGTCTGAACTGGCAGTTTGCCCTTGCCCTTGCAATGTGGGATGGGATTTGTGGAGAACGGTACACTGGTGTCAGTTGCTGGAAAGATCTATGATAGAGCTTGCGTTACGCGTCTTCTTAAAAGTTCGCTTTGTGCATCCCCTTTTCGTGGGACGCTGATGTTGAGCCTTTTGCAGTATTTTGGCCACGTTCTTAGCAATAAATCGATCAGGATACCCTTTCTAGCGAAAAAAGGCTTTTAAATGATCTTAAGGTCATTCTCAACGCTATCAGCTGTGCAGATTCTTCTCACTATTACTGTCAAAAAGCGGACTAAATTACGTTTGACGTTTAGTTGTACGTAACTCCTAAAATGAGTGTATTGTCAAGACAAGGTTTTCTTACGATAGACGCTACGTCGAATGCTGCCGTCAGGTCTTCTACTCAGAAGCGAATGCAGAAAAGGAAGTGAATCGGAGGATTCTTCTTCCAGAGTGAATTTTATTGATAGGTGCGCCTGATTTATGTCATCCAGTAGAATTATGATGTCACATTGCTTCGGTACAATTGTAAATATATCATCCACGTACCGCCCATAGTATTTTAAACCGTTGATCTGGTGAGGTAGCTGGAAAACCTCTAACATTCCCACGAATATATTCGCCAAAAGCGGACAAAGAGGTGAGCCCATAGCTACGCCTTTCATCTGCCTATATAGATTTTTGTCGAATACGAACTGTACAATCAGAGGACACCGCAATACCAATTCCTTGAGGGCATTCACGGGCGTTTCTACATCCTGGTGATTGTCGGCAATGTAATCAGAAAGGTTGTTGACCGTTTCCTTTGCCGGTAAGTTCGTAAAAAGGGATGAAACATCTAAAGAAAACATGACAAATTCGTTCAGATCGAGGTTTTTTACACCGTTAGTGAATTCAAATGTATCTCGATAGCTATGTGGCGCTAGTTGACACTGCTGAGGCCTAAGATTCTCCGACAGCCACTTCGCTATTGCATGGTAAGGCGAGTTCCTCATAACGAGGATCGGATGAATCGCTGCGCCATCGTTGTGGATCTTCGGCAAGCCATATAACCGAGGTGTATGCCTGCCGACGGGTCGGAGGCGCTCTACGTCGCGTTCGCCTATCCAACCATCCGCCTGAAGTCTTTTCAGGCAGTCAGTCAGTCGTGCTTTAATCTCATCTGTACGGTCCTTCTCCATCTGTTTCTTTCTAAACTTATCCTGATCCGACAGAATTGACTGTATGTTTGTAATGTAACCTACCCTGTCCATCAAAACAACGCCAGTTTCCTTATCTGGCCAGACAAACAGGCGCACGCCCATTACATAGGAAGACTTACTTTTCTACCGTATGAGCAAAAAATATTCTTTGCGGATGTCTCCCGTAAAGTGAGATTGCATTTACAAGGGCACCGAAATCAATGGGATGAACTTTACACTGCTTAAGTAGCCATTTTGAAGGATGTAGTTTATGCAGGCGGCCAATAAGAAACTCACTCAAAGGCCGATATCCTGACATGTCTGAGATATCTTAATATTATGCTACATGACATTTGAAATTACAATTCTACTAAGGAAATATTTTAGAATTTAAAGAAAATTTCAGAATTTCAGCCATTTTTTCATGACCTGGCGTATCTACTGTATCTGTCCTTGGGGAACAGACGGGTGTCATATATTTTCTATTGACAGGACGTCATTTAGAAACAGTCAATTTAAAGCGTTCATTTACGTGCAAAGTTTTTGTCAGTGGTAATATAAGCTAATAATAGCTTTCTCTCAGTCCACATTTTGAATTCACTTTTTACATCCATACTTGTCATTCACTCGCAAAAAATTGAAGTTATTCAGGTAAGAAAATCGCAAACGACCGATTGCATGGTTTATCAAAGATTCACAAGAACGGCCTACCAGTCCTTCAGATATTGGAAATGCGCAACTTTCACTATCATGCGTCAGCGAAGTGGTAAGTAGAGAACCTCAAAACTCAACAGTATCAACTGGCACCAGATTGCTACTGGGAGATTTTCGAATTCACTGAAGACGCCAAAGACCTAAATGTAGACGGTATGGTAATGTTTTCACTTGATGACTCATCACTCTTCAATAAACGTTTCGATCACGGAGAATGTTAAGTACATAGGCAAATTTCTGTCAAACAATCACTGTAAAAAAGGTATTCCGACGAGCGCACTCAATGAATGATTACTAAGATGCACGCAAAATTTGCAGTTCCCGTTTAACAACTATATTCATAGACAAAAAGGCGAAGTTGCTATGTCATTGCCTCTTGATCCTCTCCTAGTCGATATCTTCATGGGCAAGCTGGAGAAGTGTTAGTAAAACGGCCAAATCAATAAGCTATGGCGCTAAGATTGCTAAGTTGACGAGGTCTTTGCAATTGCCGTCAGGGAAACCGACATAACCGTTCTCTTTGATACTGTAAATCAAGCATATCTGTCGTTCAGGTTTTTCTTTGTAGGTGGAAAGGGCAGGATTCCTGTCTTCGACAGACACACTTCTAAGCAAAAGAGCTGACAGCAGCGTCCGAAGAAGTGTCCATCGAAAGGACGGCTAGATCGCAGTTGGCAGACATGAATGCGGAGGCGGACGGCGACCTTAACCCTAACCCTAACCTCAACCTTAAAACTTAACCGTTAACCCTAACAGCGACCATAACCCCAACCATAACTGAAATCCTAAACGCAACCGTAGCCTTTAGACATGGCTGTAACTGAAATACCTAACCAGAATACTGAAACCCATTCATACGTTCAAACCCTCACCGTAACCCGAAAACCTAAGCCTAAAGGCATAAGCTCAACCCGAAGATCGAAAACCATTAACCGGTACCCTAATCAAACGAAAAACGGAAGCCAAATTGGTCAGATGTGATTATGGAGCCCCACAAAATAGCCCCAATAAGCAAACCCCTGGCACCTGTAAAACGGGGCCTGGCTACCAACTGCGATCTAGCCGACAGGAAATCTTGGCTGGACAAGAAACGAACTTCTACAGTTTCGTACCTCTTTAACTGAAACGTCACCTGGTCCGCTGTTTGGCACAAAGGGTTACAAAGACCTGTTGGACAGATAGCGTTGATGGAGAACTTAGAAGTATCCAGGAACTGCTTCGCGGGAACGGGTATCCTGACAGATTTATTGAAAGAAATCTTACCGAACGACCGGCTAAAACAATCATGCCGACCGCAGAAAAGAAAACTCTGTTCCTCAAAGTCCCTTTTTCAGAGAATGCGGCGAGTGAGCTCCTTAGAAGGCGCCTTGGCCAAACCGTTTCACGGTCCTTCCCGGCAGAAGGAGTTCAAGCATCGTTTTCGACCAATCCCGTCTTTCTCGGGGAAGGTAAGAAAAGGCTACCAGCTCAGACCAAGTCCATGTGCATTTGCTCCTTTACTTGCTCATGCGGAGCAGGTTAAATTGGTCACACGAGTCGGCACCTGTCCGCAAGAATACGAGAGGGCTTGTTGGCTTGGCCGGCGAAGAGTAAATTTAAGAGCGTACGCAGCTCTATTCTCACACACATGGGTGATTCTGGGCACCGTGGGGATACCACCGAAGCCTTCCGTGTGATTCGCAAGGTCTCACCTAACTGTCGCAAGCAAGAGGTGAGAGCCTACTAACAACAGCAAAGAAAACTGCCATCAGGCTACGGAGGCCGGTCATGTGCGCGGAGAAAAACCCCTTACCGTGGGCCAGGATCGATTAACTCTATGCAGGTCTCCACGTCCCCACCTCCTTCCCTTCCACCTCAACGTAACCGTCACTGTTACTGCCTAATTTCCTCTTCTATCCCCCCCTTCCTCACTCTATTCACATTACCCGTTTGTCTGAAAAGACGACCCAAAGTTTATTGCACTTATCACTCACATGTTTAGTTTGTACCTCGTTCCCGTATAAATGTACAGGCGCGATGCAAATTTATCGAAAGCACGCGTAACCTCGCCAAACACTTTTGAGTGAAAATATTCGAAAACCACACAGACCGATAAATCCATGCCTGCCAGAATGTTTGAAAAACAACTTCATTGATTTTGGCCTTGTTGTAATGTCCACTTTTCAGTCATTAATATTAGTTTTTTCTAGGGGTAATTTCTTCTGTTTAAATTGCCAGCACATTTTATTGTACGTTGTCGTGATTTTTCGAGTGTGACGTACAAGGCACTGTGCAATTTTAAAGCAATGTTTTGTAACAACTAGGTTGTTGTGTGCGAATCAATCTAGATGAATGTGTGGAAGATTAGAGAAAGTGATTGAAGTTAAGTTCTGGTAGGCACAATGTAGTAATAAGCAGCGAATCGTATGCCACATGTTACGCGTTGCGGAAGATTTATTTTACTAAAGGTTATAGGATTCGCCCAAGTATTATGGTATGTCTGAAACTTATGAATACATCTACAGATAATACACAAAAATTATGTTTGTTAGTAATAGCGGACAGTCTTTCGCTATTCTTATTCATCTCGTTTATACTGCTCTCTACTCTCTAATTAGATTTATTGATGCAGAAATCATATCATTCCCTTGTCGCACACTGCTTGCAAGAAAAACTCTTAGTTACATTAAGGGACACTAGGGTGTCTTGTCGGGCAAAAAATACGACAGAGATATTATGGCAGTACTGCCTAACTCGTAACACGATGGAATGCATTTTATGCGTGACTGTCTGCTAGACTTCCGCTGATAAGATTCTTAAAAAGTGTGCGCAGGTCTTATCTGGTAGAAATCTAGCGAGAATTATGTGCAATGCGAATTAGTTTTAAAAACAACATAAGTTACTTACATTTTAGTAAAAGGTACTGTGTCTGATTTTCGTTGCGTCCGCCAATACAGAAAGACATCTCTCTTTTAGCTATCATGCTTGCAAACTCATAATACGTCGCGATTTATATTTCAGTATTTTACGACTGTATTTTATTGACTGTAAATTCCTCTTTGCCATGACTTCATTAAATCCCCTATTATTGCTGTGAAAATAATCAGGAAGAGCCATTTGCTGCCATATCATGCGACATCTTTAAGCATATCAATTAGTCAGAATGGTATTGCCGGCAAAGACAAGGGAGACTGGAATGGCCATTTCTGGCTTATTAGCCGTCGTCAGCCAGCCATACCCAAGCCCGAAGTGCGGAACACCCGGGCCTCGAACTCGCGACATGTTGGTTTAGAAGTAAACGCCTCTACTCACCGGGCCACGAGCCCGTTGCCTTGTCGGTTTTCGATCGGGAATATACAATGTTAGGGGGCGCTCACCGATCGTTCATACGGAACTCACTCGGGCTTGGGTATGGCTGACTGACGACGGCTAATAAGCCAGAAATGGCCATTCCAGTCTCTCTTGTCTTTGCCGGCAATACCATTCTGCCTATATATCATGCGCCGCTGTGCGACTGCTGGTTGGGCTCGAGAGAGAGTCCATAAGGCACAACGGAACGAGTGAGTTCCGTATGAACGATCGGTGAGCGCCCCCTAACATATCAATTAGTTTGACACGTCTCAGCGATAGTACTCGACCTTGTGCGGTAGCTATAAAGACGGAGGTTTTCGAATACATAAACAGATGTGTACCATGAAACGTGCCGTAATCGAAACCCCTGCACCAAATTTTTAACGCTATTTGATTCTTAGATTTGTGGAACTTTGAGTTACTGCGGCTTTAAAGAATGTTCCGCCACTTAGGCATCAAACCAAGATTAACAAAAAGCTAATAGAATGATGACGCAATCACAGATCTTGCAGATGTCTCCTGCTGAAACTACCTACTAATCTATCTGATGCAGGACGCCCTTCGAGACTTTGTTTGATGTAGCTAGTCAAATGGGGAAAACTAAAAAATACTTGTAGGACATTCCAGGGGCAGGTGTCAATGGTTTGTTCCAACTAATTAAGCAGCAAAATCGGACGCTCAGTATATTTTTAGGGGATCCGACCATACGGGAACATAATTTTCGTCAAAGTTTGTAAAGACCCACGGGCTGGCGTAACGATGTGTCCTCAACACTATTTGCTGTTGGCTGAACCGCGCTTGTCTTCACTAATTCAACCGAAGGCGGAAGAGTAGACGACCAGATGCCGGTTTTTTTAAAGTAACTGAACGTGCGAGCGAGGCATTTGTTTTTTGAAGTACGTCCTTCCATTGATGGTCGTATGGGGACTACCATATCCTAGACTGCCCTGCAGGTTTTACTGACATGACTGTTTGCCATAATTCGTCAAGACCTGTTTCCGCTTGATATGACGCTTTAAATGAACGTCTCCTAAACTTGCGACTTTTGCCGGTTAACGCGAAAAGTAAATTTGTCATTATATGTAGGCAAAAAGTACGATTTTTGTCATACGATGACGAGTTGTTCAAGGTCAATACTGTTAAATAGAGAGGCTGAGGGGTTTGATAGCTGGAGTCCTTTGATGTGCATTTTTTACAAGTTCAGACCATCCGATCACGTATGCTGCGTCAGATTCAAACTCGAATTTATCATAAGTGACAGTGTCAGAATGTGTAACGTTTGCAGAGAAAATGAAACCTGTGCTGTATCAAACAGCACCACAGAGTTATCAGGATACCTTTGAACTCATTGAAGACGTCAGGGACCTAACGTTAAGGGGTTAAATGAATTTTTTCACTTAGATTGGCATTACTTTTTACAAACGTTCCGGTCACGGAGACACTTGTGTATGTATGCGACTTCGTGTCAACTGACTACCAGTAAATAAGTATTCCGACGAACCCACACAAGGAACTATTACTAGAACGCACATGAAATGCGCAGTTTCTATTTATCAACTAAATGTATAAACAGACAGACGAAGTTGCCATGAGATCGCCTCCTGGTCATCTGCTAGTCGATATCTTCATGGACAAGCTGGAGAAGTCTTGGTTAAGTTCCACATCAATAAGCTAAGGAAGTGCGGTCGCTACATTGACGGCCTCTTTGCAATCGCTACTAGAGAAACCAATATATCCACTATCTTGTAGGCTATAAATCGAGCACACGCATTGGTCAGGTTTGTCTGAGGTGGAAACGACAGGCTCTCTGCCTTTTTTAGCTGTCGTTTTTGCGCAGAACAGCTTCCGGCAGCGTTTGCAGAAGCGTCTATCGAAATGATACGTTGTCTGAGTAATATGCGGACTTCTGCAGTTTAGCACCCCTTCAAAAGAAATCTTATGTAGTCCGTTATTTGGCTCAAGAGACTCGAAACGTCTGTTTGACAGTGAGCAGTGATGAAAAACTTGGAAGAATCTAGGACGTAGTTCGCGAGAATGGTTATCCTAACAGTTTTATCGTAAGGAATCTTGCCGAATGACCGGCAACCTCATCCTATCGACGGTGGGACAGAACATTCTGTTCCTCAAGGTCTATTTATATGTGGACGCTGCAAATATCCTCCTGCAAAGACGCATTCATCTAACCGTTTCACGGGCCTTGTCGACAACAAGAGTTAAATTATTGTTCTCGTCAAACTACGTCTTTTGCTGGGAAGATGAAGATAGACTGCCAGATCTGATCACCTCCATGTGCATTTGTTCTTTTACTTGCTCATGTGGAGCAGGCTGCATTGGTCGAAGGAGTCGGCGCCTACGCGGAAGAATACAAGAACACCTACCGACATCGATGAGAAAGCGTGAATTTGATATCATTCACAGCTCCGTCCTCGCGCACATGGTTGATTCTGAGCATCGCGTGAACCCCAACAGAGCCTTTCCTGTGACTAACGAGGTCCCACCTAACTACCCTAAGCAAGAGGGTCGACGCTTACTAGCAACAGCAGAGGGGAGTGTCATCAGGCTAGAGAGGCCGGTCCTGTGCGCGCAGAAAAACCGTTTGCACGCTTTGCACCTACCAAGGCCAATGATTGCTTAACCGCTCGCATGACCCTGAGTCCCCGCCCCTCCCTCCCGTCCGCATGTGTTACGTCTCTATCTAACCCGCACTGTCACTTACTGTGTCCTCCCCCCATTGACGCCCCCCACGTGTACGAATAAACGGAACGTAATCGATTGATCTTATCCCTCACACGTTTTACTAGGTACCCCTTCCCCATATAAATGTACTAGCCCAATGAGAATTTGTCTAAACACGCCAAATGGTCATCAGAATTCCAAAATCCTAGTTCGTTCAGGTGAACCCTCTTGCGGCTTCCAGATTGACGGGGTCGAAATGACCCCGGGAGTTTACAACTGCGTAAGGCGCGAGCGGCTGGAATCACACTTTTCTGTCAGCAGTCGGTTAACCTGTTTACTTCACTCCAGTGACTCCGTATTCCGCGCTGAGTCATTGTCCTGTCGGAGTAATTGGGCGAGAAGGGGAGAGTCGGTATCAGTGGCAGTTCTAGTGACCCAAATTGGAGGGCCATTATCACACCAATTAACACCACTAGGGGAAGGGTAACGGCAGTTAGCAACTTGGGTCTGGACTAATAATTTAGTATCGAAGTAAGTGCAATTATCTGCAAGGGATGAGGTGGCTGTTAATTTTGATAGGTGTGCGCTAACTTAGTAACTGCATCCCATGAGTGGGGCGACTCACTCTTAACGGATGCTGTCTGGGATGTTGGTTGCCAGTGCAAATCATAATACGTCGGACACATAAAACCCTAGCACCAAAGATCGCATCTGCCTCTCTGGATTCCGTTGACGGCACTAAGTCCACATAAATCATACTATACCAGTTAACTATGCACGAATTTACACGCAACATTTTGTCGTTAGGCGTATGGCTCAGAAGATTCTTGTGAGATAATCGCTGCTCTTGACGTTTGTTGTCGTTCATAATAACATGACACCTACACCAAAAACAAAAATATAATACTATTTTTGTTAGCATAATATTTGCGCCCTACAAATCAGCAATTTCATACTATAGATAAACTGAAACACGCAGAAATTCCAGAAAAGGGATAATGCGTGCTTTAACATCGCATGCTAATCATTTTTTGTCAATTTCGTGTTCTCGCTAGGGCTAGATTGCAGTTGGTAGCCTGGAATGGGAAAGCGGACGGCGAGCTTAACCCTAATTCTAACCTTGGCCCTAACCCTAACCTTAATCTAAAACGTAAACCGTTGACTAACGGCAACCTTAACCCTAACCCTAACTCTAACCAAAATCGTAAACGTAATCGTAGCCCCTAGACATAGCCCTAACTGAAAAACCTAACCGTGATACTGAAACCTAATCGTAAACGCAAACCCTAACCGTAACCAGAAAACCTAAGCCTAAAGGTCAAACCCTAACCAGGAAATCGGAAACCATTAACCGGTACCCTAATGCTAACCTCAAACGTAAAACGGAAGCCAATTGGGTCAGAAGTGATTATACAGCCCCACAAAAAGGCCCCGCTAAACAAACCCCAGCCACCTGTAATACGGGGCCCGGCTAGCAACTGCGATCTAGCCCCCGCTGGTAGCGTAAATCTGCTCTACAAAAAGCTACCATGAAACTGTATTTTATCTAAAAAATTAGTTACGAAAACAGAGAAAAGATGGCCAACCACACTGACCGTGGTAGGCTTTTGCATCCAGGTGTGCCAGCATATACCCGCAGTGCCATTTTTTTAAGAAACGCAACACTTCCTTAATTTTGATCCATACGAGCAGTTCCGGTTTCTAGCTGGTCACTTCTGGAGCACCAGGCCACATGTCTAACAGTGCATGGAAGCATCTAGCATTGAGTCGCGTTCAGAAACACGCTTACCGCGACCTCCACGAACATAAACAGGAATTGTTAGTTCGAATTATGGTTACGTTTGATCTTATGGTCTGCCGTAAGCTATTCAAACATCGCTCTCTTTTTTGACTCCTCGTCAACAACGTATAACCTTTTTGCGTTCAAATAAGCGACGGTGAATAACTACTAGCCTACAAGGTTACGCTAGCATGAAAGAAGTTATTAGCCTAGAGTATGGTTGTGGAAACCCCGTTTTACAGGAGCTTGTGCCAAATCCCAAAAGAGGATAAGTCCTGAGTCAATGCAATTATTAAATCCGGAGTTAATTTGAGGGTCAGATATCGCTCAAGTTAAAGTTGGAAGGGCTATGGCTAAGATCAGGTCCATTTTTATGGTCAGGTTAGCCAGTGTTAGAGTCAGGCATGGGGTGAAAACGATTATCAGCCTTGCGCTGGTTTCCTGAGAGGGGAATAATTTATTGCATGATTCAACGTTTATCGGTGACATGTCACATCATGTCATATTTTTAAAAACTGGATCAGTTTCGTCGCAGTTCAGCAGTGAGCTGGTAGTAGAAAGAATCACCCACATGTTACGAAAAATGAGGCCTATTTTTGCTGCACTTAGAGAGAGCGACGGGAAACACCGGCACGCGAAGATGAGGTCGTACAGCTAATAGAAATAAAGCAAAACAAAGCGTCCTTTAACAGAAAAGGGATCCTTCCGTGCGCAAAAATCGTTCGACTAAGAACCTTGAGGTTTCGCTTTTGTTTTTGGAGATCCGGGAGGCTGAAATGAACAATCATAGTCAAAAAGCCTGGGCTGTTTTCCGCCCATCAGCCCTTAGGTGTTAATATTTTGATGCAGTTGAAACGAGGACGGAGGATGGATTTGCGATTGGTCGTCAGTCAGCATGGAGAGCGGGAAATTATCACTGGCTTTGCAATGGTGCACTGGAGGTCAGCAAGAAAAAACACAGCTACAACTCAGTATCGGGGAAGCCAAATCCCTTTTTTATTGTAGTAGCTCAGCCAATCAGCCTAATCTAACGTCCTAGAGGTTTTCAGTTCGACATATCTAGCCTGAGACAGCCAAAATGCAACGGACTTACCCTCGTCTTGAAGGAGATTTTGAAAGGACTCCTGCCACAGTTCGACCTGAGATGCGGTCGGCCAGGACTCACGGAAAAGTTCCTCTAGGATGGAAAGTGAGGCATTTGCGGGTCTGCGGTCGACATGGGACTGGTTCGCACGGGACTGGTTACGAAGGGCTGCTAGTGCTGCCTGACGCCAAAAACTCGAGATTCGGCCGCGAACGTTGGCAGTCCTGGAACGGCAAAAGGGAACGCTAAACACCAGTGCTAATTGCGTTGTCAATGTGTGGCGCTTTGTGTGTGTGCCCAAGTAGGAAGAAGTCGCATTTGCTTACTTCAGTCATCATAGACCTGTCTCGCATTGCCGTGGCAATTTATTATAAATCAGTACTAAAATTTGACGATAAAAGCAAGCCTACACAACAGTCTTTACGCGATGCCCACATACGGTCAATTAAGCGATCCAGAAATTTATGCGGACCTTTGGTTAGTTATTTATTCATGACGCCGTCTGCCAATTGCTGAAATGATAAATAATACTTAGCGACATTTTCGCTTGTCATACTCGAACAAATTGACGATTTTAGGGTGATATGATAGTTGTATCCCTCAAATGACAATCATGGCTATCATATAACTACTCTAGGATCAGGTCTGTACTCCAGACTTGGACAGCGGACCGTAAATCAATGTTCAGCGAAAGTCAGATAGGCTATGGACTATTTTATTCAAAGCACCTAAGCGTTCAGTAGAAATCATCAGCAAACGACTTGCATTAGCCTGACAAATTTATGCGTATATGTTGGTCCTACAGGACGACGCCTAGGGACTCGTATTAATGACCACAAACTAGCTGTCCGTCGCCGTGATCCACTGTCCCTCGTCTTTGCACACGCACTCCAGTGCGACCACCGTTTTAATTGGGATAACACCGAGGTCATCGCCACGGCCAACACAAAACGGGCGAGAGAATTCCTAGAGGCATGGCACTCTAACGCGGACAGCATCAACCGCCACGTCGACCTCGACGCCTATTATGAGGGCCTAAGATCACGCCTCACTAAGCCGAACCCCACGCCGCATCAGCAGCCGCTAATCCAGGCGCCCGCAGTTCTGCCAACCTACCATTCTCCCTCCCCTCCAACACGGGGAACCGTAACGGTTCCCCCCCCCTTCCTACCCTCCCGGCTCAGAACCCAGCATGACTCCCTACCCGCATTCCTCCTCACATGCTAATGGTTCGTCCGTCAATGTTTGTCCTGTCTCGTCTATTAGTCTAGAATGACTGTCTCACTCTCTCTTTTCTCTTCATTTCGTCTGACGACGGGTTGGTGCCACCAATTCGAAAATTCACGAGTACAACTCGGATTTTCCCGAGGAAACTCCTCCTTTTTCATTATATCATCTCGGAATGCCTACCACTTCTACTCTACAAATTTAATTTTATTCATTATCTCTGTGACCATTTTAATCATACCCTTTAAGCACTCAGACTACTTTGTCTTTCTTGAAGCCCAAATGTAAGCATATCTATAGCCGAATACCAGTTGTCATCTAACAGCCTTCTGGAGTAGATTAAAAGGAGCAGCATGCATGTTGACAAGTTTTCGTTAAGAAAATGCAACTGTATAGTAGGGTTAAATGGGGTCCATGGGAAACAAAAGGGATAGTTATATCAGTTAAACGTGAAACAGAAAAAGGAGAAGAAGTGGAAGCATTAATCGTTGCCTGGGCCTGAGAACCACTAGAGCAAATAACTTTGTACAATTCCGGGACGCTAAGTGTTGAACATCCCCATGAGATCTATGGTCTACAACCAAAGAAGGCTTTGTGGAGGAAATTAAGAACATCTAAAAACACTTTACGTGACCATTATCAACGATTATCTGATACTCTATTAGTGACATGAACCTTCTGGTGGGTTTGAAGTGGGTTACTTAGGAAATCCTGCTTAGACAGTCAATTTAGGGTATCATGGCTGAGGGATTCCAGACGAGCAGTAGGGTGCGTGAGTAACTTGTCACAAATGTGATAAAGATCACGCCCCCCCTCCCTGGGGCCTGATAGCTCAGGTGGCTAGAGCGTTGGCTGTTATAAAGCCTTCAAATACCGTAGGGGGTTCAAATCCCACCGACACTCCGAGTTTATTACAGTCGGGACAAACCTAAGGATTATACGATCGTCATCGAAGGAAAAAAATGAAGTTATTTTCGACTTTGATAATTTTACATGAATTCGTAAGCTCGATTGGGGCAGATCCTTTAAGAAAGAGCACTTTAGAACCGGCCCGAACGTTGATGTGAAAATTTATGCAGAAAACTAATCACTTCTCCTCACGAAACATGTAAAACGGTCTGCATTCATTGCAAGATTTTGTGAACTAAAACACGACATCTTCTCAGAGGCATAGATGAACATACGATTTTCCGTAATCGGAAAGAATGCACCTTGTAGACTGAAGCCAGTAAACGCTAATGCAACGGCTGGTGTCGCAGCAAATTATTTGGGACTTAGAAAGCTGTTTTAAAATCTAAATACACACTTCCCTTGAATACATAATTAAACAAGATGAGTTGTATTGCCAAGTGCATAGGACACACAATTTCGTGCATTATTTATAAAAATGCATTTGACTATATCAAAACATCGGTAATTAAGGTAAAACAATGCTTATTATTTGATAATCATTTTCTGTAGGGTACGATTTTTATAGGAAGTCGAGAACAACTGCATTCACAAGCCAACATTATATTAAGTCCGAACTATTATTGAATTATGAAGCGTAGTTGTTCACCTTACTACGCCACCTAAGTAATCCTTTGTAGTCGGAAACACATTTCAGAATTTCGGCCATCTCACTCACTCTAGTCATACAAAATGGAAAAAGCCCCGTTAGGAGCTTTTACCCAAACGTTTGCTGAACTGATTTGTTCCATTATCCTTTACTAAGTAAAATATCCAGCAAAGCAATTTATTCTAGTTTGCCTAGACAGTGAGTTTCTGCGTGGAAAATTCCGCTAAGGTGAAATTTTCAACACGTATTCTAAGTGTCCGTGATTATTTGCTCAAAAAACAGAGACAAAAATGTGTTTGCTCCTTACCATTGAATTTGAAGTAGGCAACGCTTGGAGTACTCTGAGTGAACGCTCAGTCTATCAGAATCTCATAAACCAGCTCCTTCCTTAAGGGTGCATTTCCAACAGGCATTTCCAATGGAGTTACGAGTTGAGAGGACTCAGAATGTAACGATTAGTCGTCTCCTGCAAGCCGCTAAAGTACACACATTATTCTTTAATTGCCCTATTATATCTGCTCAGCACTCTGCCCATCCAGACCACCCCTCTGGCGCACCCGTGCCTTCACTTGTCCCTGTGGAGTAGGTTGCAATTGTCGAACGAGTCAAACATCGTGCCCAAGGGGGATAGGACAACGCAAGCTGGCATCCTGCCTTGGGAAGGGAAAGACAGGTGCCACAAATAGCTCCATCCGCACGCACGTAGCAGCCGACAGCAACTGTGTGGACGCCAACAGGTCCCCAAAAAGTACAGTGAGTGACCTATCTCATGACATGTTGGCTGAAATTCTGAAATGCGTTTACGATTAGGAAGGATTACTTGGTCGCGGTGATGATACTGATTATCTTAAGGCAAATTCTTATAACATTTTGGACTCGGCAGGATGTCGGCTTTTCAATGCACTTCTTTTCAATCTCCTGCAGAAAGCGTGCTCGGTAGAAAATGACTACTTCAGTAGCATGCATTTTTCCCATTGCTTTTTTGGATGGTCTTGCAAATTCAAATATATTTTATAGAAACCACAAACAAAATATGCTTTCTTATAGTCAATCAATAGAGTATCGAGTTTCCTTTATATGTTATGCTTAAGAAACTAGTATCATTAGGTTTTAAAAAAGTTTCTAATTATGAGACTTTTTAAGACCGCGATATGTCCATTCACATAGCATCGTACCTGGCCGTTTACCACTGCTCCACATGAAATGTGCAACATGGTCCGCATCCATTGCAAAATTTTATGGACCCTGTATAATATCTCTTTAGTAGCGTAGAAAAATACGTGATTTTCTTTACGCTGAATGCATACACCTTGTAGAGTGTAATCACTAAGCGCTAATGAAACGAATAATCAGGCTCCAAATTATTCGGCAATTAGAAAACTTTTTTAAAACCTAATTATACTACTTTCGTACATATAAAATATAAAGAAGACGTGATTCTCTATTGATTGACTAAAATAAAGCATATTTTGTTTGTGGTTTCTATAAAATATATTTGAATTTGCAAGGCCATCGAGAATCAATTGGAAAAATGCATGCTACTTAAGTAGTCATTTTCTACCGAGCACGCTTTCTACAGGAGATTTAAAAGAAGTGCATTGAAAAGCCGACATCCTGCCGAGTCAGAAATGTTATAAAAGTATGCCACAAGATAAACAGTATTACAACCGCGACCAAGTAATCCTTCCTAATCGTAAACGCATTTCAGAATTTCAGCCAACCTGCCATGAGATAGGTCACTCACTGTACCTTGTTAGTTTAAACAGGCAGTCAGAAATCGCAATACTAATGCCAGTTGGCAACGGCAGAGGCGCATAAAAGGACTACGTCGCTGCATTTCTCATGACCAAAGATCAATATGTCGATTGTTCGCAGGGAAATGGCGTCGGCCTACGCGTTACAATGCTTTCTAATGCTGGATTAAAATTGTCCCTCGTAACTGCACATCACGGCTCCTATTGCGTACAGCCGTCTCGCCATCATCAGCTTCATGCTGGAGTTTGTAATCGTTCAAAACAATTTTACTACAATTACAATTTTGATCGTACTATTGCTTTTGATGAGGTTTCATAACCACTAATCAAAATGCACATTGTCATAGTTCCCAAGAACTGTTTCTGGTGGATTGAATAATAGGATTTTTGGCTGGATATGATCTATCTATCTGACTACTACTATTGTTGACGAGCTATCAGTCGTAGGCTTTATTTTTATGCACGAGCATGAAAAGTGCAAAAGCGCTGACCAATAGAATCATTTTCCCTGGTTAAACAAGCGAACCTGGGTATTGGGGATTCGAGTTGTCGGACAAGGCTATTATCCTACCGAATGGGATTTATGCCAGGATTAGCTAAGTGTCTTCCGCCTGCTGTCTAAAATATGTATTTTGGTCTAACCACAGCGTCAAATCTGCGCCTGTTGTATTCAAACGGAAGATTTCTTAATTAAACATTTATTCAATCGTTTTGAGAAAATGAGAATTCGTCGTTTGAATGTTTAACAGCAAACTTAGAGACTTTTGTGCAACTTACTACATTTAAGTACATGCGATGACTAGTATGTTTACACTCCAAAGCCAGCTGACAATACAAAGAAAGCTGCGTAGACTCTGACAGAAATCCGATATACACGTTCAATCAACAGAAACTACTCACGGATATCAGTTATTTTCTGAGTTTTTGATCGGCCTTTTGGCGGTCGACTGACTGATTAACCCGCTTTTGTCTTAAAATATTGTTTTGCTAATGTAAATCTTACATCTAATCATAAGGAATAATGTCAAATCATACAAACGTCTGTCAAATGTATATCTTTGTTCATTTCCAACTAACCTAGAATAAACAGCGAGAATTACATAATTCTTTTGTACGTATATTATTCTGGTGTATAGATTGACAGATTGGGTTAGATAGGCATGTAAAGGGGCGTCAGTAAAAATCGTCTTCCATCTCTATCCCTTTTTCACAGGGAAAACTCCTAAAACTGCACTTTCTGGTGAGGCTAGACGTAAATTATATGATGACGGACAAGAGCTCTCACGCCGATTGTTTCTGCATTGCAGTTTTACGAAATTAAAATAAAATAAGTATTGTGGCAATAATGATAAACTAAAAGTCTCCCCTGTTGCCTTCCTACTATCCAATAACTTTTACATCCGATCAAATCTTCCCCGAATCGGAAAGCACAAATTTCGCGACGCTTTGTGAACTAAATTTTCACTCTCGTTTTCTAGTATTCTGGTTTCAAAACAGTGAGGTTTTGTAGATTTTCCTTTCAGAATAGAAAGTTAATTGTGGTGAAAGATTTTTATGGAGAGTTAAAGCCTAAGGAAGTTTGTGGTACCTTTTAAAAGTCCTTTTGTATGATAAACTTTTGAACATTCGAGATATCTTTCCTTACTTTTAATGCGTCGACCTTCTGGGACCATCTGAAGCGTACATGGACGATAGCTGTGACGTGATCGATTGTATTTATGGATATTCATCGGATCAAACTCAAATTTTAGGCACTTATTTAGAAATGCTGCTAGAATTTATGAGATTCAGTCCACGGAAGCGTTCGCCAGATATGACCAGCATCCACAAGTATGAAAATACTGCACTGCGTATCTAGTCGCCAGCTCCATAGTAAACCTGAGAACACGCAAACAGCTAATAGTAAAAAAACCATGATTAATGTACTTCTGTTGAGTGCTCTGATGCATGACAATTTTATACGAGCCCAGAAGTGACTCTTCATTGTCCTTCTCTCGCTGGCTCCGGCACGCCTTTGACTGCAGAAGTAACGCATGCCGACAAAAGGACATAAAGAAGTAAGCCTAAAATCTCCAGCACTGTGCTTCGATTATGAGTTCCACATGATATGGGCTGCAACATGACCGTAGACACCCTCTTTAGCGCACACACACGTGTTCGGATAGGTTTTTGACTTGTGTGAGAAAACCTTGTTAGACACAAAATAATGCAGAAAAACAAGCGCGTAAAAGAAAAGCCAAGGTTCAGTTTATTGGCAGCAGTTTTGCACAAAGGAAATCATCGTACGGTTGGAAATGATTATATATATATTTGTAGGAAAAAAATACCCAGTGCCAAAGACTTAAAAGGAATTAGGCAACCAAGATGGCACTCGGATTTGGTCGAATTTAATTGCGTCCTTGTGATGCAACGCAGCTGTTGCTCCCTATATTCGGATTCATGGTGGTAGGCTGTCTTTCAACTGGTTTAACCCCCATATGCGCGCAATTCTCTGCAACACATTTATTCATCCTCGATGTCAGTGTCTCTGATGCGAAAAACAACCGATTTTTTGGCTTTTCTCGTTGTGAAAAGAGGTGTTGTTATATGCAGAGCAGCAATGTGGACACCTATGTTTCTTGTATCGATCCTTATAGAATTATGTAGAGAGTACTGAAGAAATAAGGGAGACTTAAATGGTCAGTTCTGTCTAGCGACGGCAAATAAATCAGAATTGGCTCTTCAGACTAATTTACCATTGTTGAAAATCTTCTTCTGAAGACATTCAAGGTATATGCGTAACTGATTTCGAGGCTTTGACATTAAACCCCAAAACATATCATGACCGCAGGCCCAATAAACGTAGTAATAAACGCTGTAGTACTAACAATACACATACGTCATCTTTCTTCAAAGTTAAAGTGACCGAACCATGAATAATTTATCTGACTTCCTCTGAATGCTCTTATCAAACGAACTACTTAACCCCTCAATGTTATTTAGGATAAGTAGGCATAAATGCACTATTGCACGTACAACGACGATTTTCATCATCTAAAAGCACGACGTTTACAGGGTAATAATGTGGTGCGTGTACAGGAAACATTTTCACTAAACGCCATCATGTACTAGCAAATCACGGTCATATTTTTACAGAACTTAACATTTCGCCTTCTGCAGTCTTGCTTTTACAAAAACCAAGGATGGAAAACGCTGGGATGTAAAAGGTACGCCTTAACTCTAGGCCATCAATTTGGTCACATAGCTAGGTTTGCCAACCCGCCCAAGAAAACTCGCGCTTGGCCTTTGATCTATCGATTGTAACCCAGCTGTGGACAGCTACGATGTCTATAGTAATTTATTATCTCTGACCTAAAAGTAGGCAGAACTGAACTGACAATGTTTCCGCAGATGCGTCCGGATGTATGTTGGTCTAAATGATTACACGAAATAGGTCGTACGTAGTTCAGTTAACTTGCACCGTATGATTTCAGTCAGGTTGATGAAAAAAACGGGAACCGGATGATATACGACATGCAGTTGCCAGTTGCATAGGTTTAAGCCAGATAGGATATGATATATACTGCTCTGTGAAGATAAGCCTGCATGAAGTGACATTTGTGGGACTGACAACATCTTCACATTTACAGCAGAGGCTCTAATTATTAAACGTAAGGCAGCACAAGATCAGTGAAGATATTTGATATTCAGACCATATTAGAAGGGCATGCATGTACGCCGCCCTGCAATTGTTTTACGTAAAAAAAGTTCAATCTTCCCTAATTACATCTAGTTAGCTTAACAATCCGAAGGTATCGCAAAAAATATCTATTTTGGCCTGTTAAATAGCACAGTCATGCCAGAAATTTGGGAAAAAACCTTTTGACTCAACTTCAAAAGCAGTGAAATTTTCGTTGTTGACCTCAACATGTTACATTTTTGATCGGAAGGCGTTTATTCTTAATGTCAATTACAAAGATTTTAAATCTTGTGGGTGTTTGCGATTTCGAACGGTCGCCTAGTTTTCAACTTACAAATTTATTTTATGCAGATAGACCACACATCTCTTTTGTCTAAAAATGCTTAGTTTTTTCAGTCCTCGGCAATATTATCTAAAAATATGCCAAAATACAGCTTAAATTCAGTTTTAAGAGCAGCCGTGCACGCTTTTTAGACGTAACTGAAACCCTGGGACCGCTTTTCTTCATAATATCAGTTTACGCACGTATGTAAATTTTTGGCACCAGGTGTTAAATAATCCACCTCAATTAGTGACATTTCACTGTATAGCTGAAGCTTGATTTGCCCATTTTTAGCAGTAAAGCATAAGTAACAACGCAGTGTAGAGCAATTTACATTTTATACGTACATAAATCCTATATTTGGTGGTCAGTGCATTTATTTTACACGGGGTCACGGACAGTCGAATAGCAATGGCATTTCATGACAATCATTAATAAAGACTAGGCAGGAGCAACATCGGCTTCTCAAGAAAACGACTTACACTGCTTTTGTGGGACATTTTAACGCAGGAAAGTGATAAGTGTTTGCCTTAATATTAATTCCAAAATATTAAAATGATTTCTTTTATGCTTTAGCTTATGCTCGAAAATCCACAGTGGGCGAGATATATAATGAGCAAAACATTTCAAGTCCCTTATTCTTTTAAAGTGAACGTGCCTGTTCTGCACCGCAGCATGCATTTTGACGAAAGGTTTTGACCAGATAATTCGGAATAAACGTGTATTACCTTAGTTCCCCAACTGACGTGTTACATTTTTCATTCACTATGACACACCATGGGTGCGATAATATTCTACATTTGGCAGTTCCTTTCAAATGTTGCTCACGTGAAAAACAGCGCGGTCGGATTCGGCACCCACTTGGCCAGCAATTGCAGAAAATTGCCGTTCGTTAGAGACCACGACACTCAAGTAGACATCAAAGTCTGGCTATGTGTATGTAGTTCTCGTAAAACGAAACTCGTAAAATCATTCTTTGCTACATACATCACCTGAGACCAGCAGTCTTCTTCAGATCAATGCATGAAACCTATTTGGTGGTTAGGTAAAGATTAATTGTTTTCCATAGCATGGAAGCACGTCTATACCAGTGTATTGCAAATACATATCGTCACCCAGTAGTTAAAAGACGTTTGCATTGTTCCAACGTCCCCCCTTGTAGAAGACGGTATTGGTGAACTCCGGAGAAGGCATCCTAGCTAGACTTTTTCCAGCAGCAGTAGTTCAGGCAGCATTCTCATTCAACTCAAATTTTCACGGAGACTGTAATCATAGCTTGTTAGCTCAGGCAACATTTTTGTGCATTTACACCCTTAATGACTCCCGTGGTACAGCTATATTGGTGGCACAAGTCAGCACATATCAAACGGAATATATGAAAAGCATTTGGTCTGACCAGGGAAACCTAAATTTGGAGGCTTTTATGACGCTTTTCTGGTCTAATATTGACTCTGGGCACTGTGTTGACTATATTAAAGCCTGGCAAGTAAGTATGTGGCTCTCACAAAACTATACTAAAGCGCTGAACGCATTCACAGTCAACAGCAAAAAATAACCGCCATTAGTTTTCACGATCTACTTTTTAAGCGAGTCAAGACTTGGTACGTAGCCCGCAGTCGCCATGGTCATAAGACATTCAACTTGATTGCTGTATGCAATTCCGTGCTTTTTTGCTTTTCATTTGCGACGGCTTTATTGCACATTTGTTTATCAAGAATAACGAGCACTGTCTGCCCAAACTCACTCACACTTACTCTCTCTTCCATCCAACATCTGTGTGGAGATAAACATTGCTTGATTTTTCGCGGCGGGTTTTGCATAAATATTTGGGACTGATGAAAATTTAGCAAAAGTCCCTGTCTGCTAATCAGGAAGTTTTCAAATAAACATTAGAGGGAGACAGGCAAACGGACAGAGAAAAATACTCGCACGAGACTATGCTTCGATTGGCTGAAAGATACGCGTCGTCCATAATTTTCTGTCCCTTTTGAGCTAGGCTATTTTAAGTGACTTCACAATAACAACACACAGGCGCTTAAAATGCTTCCTTTTATTTCGCCGAAGATGTTTAATTAAGCATGAATTATCGTAACTTAGAAGGCAATTTTTGATATCGTCGAAGCCTGATCTTTCTTTCCGATGCCTAAGAGTCCGGTGGGACACATTGGCGCATTGGATTCTTGAGTGAATTACTTTCAGAATGCAAACACCTTCTTGCTTAGATGCCACGATCACTGTGGTCAAATTTACCCAGCACACTTGCGGACTTATGCTACTTTCATTCAGCCATTCACAGTTCTCACAGCGGTCTGAATTCAAACAAATAAACCCAACCTAGAATACGTCTGCATCGGTGTCGTATTAACCTACTGGATTCTTTTTTGTCACTCTTATCTAAGCATAAATTGGCTGATACGATTAGGATATGAGGTTTCATTTAAGTAGACTTCTATTATCCGCTGGGGGTTTATCTGTCGGTTGATTATGTGTTCTAATGTCATCACAGGATGGTAGAGAAACATACAACTTTAATGCTAAATTACTTGGAAGGTGCTACCCACTCCTCAGAAGATCCTCACTAGTTTGCATATGGAGACGCGTCATGCTTTACTTCAGACTGGAAAGTGGATAGTGCGGACCGACCGTACTTTCCTGCGATGTATAAGTAAGCCCTATTTCATGTGTGGTTCAGAAGTGCGCACACTTTCCATTTTAATCTACAGCGCAGGAAAAATCCAGTCTAGCGTCAAAGCCACCCAAGGGTTACCGGAAGAGTCGGAGTTTTAAATAATTAATAAGTCGGCTTGATGTTACTCTAGAGCACATCTCTTACCGGACTATTTCCCAAAATCGACTCTACCGAGGATAGAACGCTTTTCCAGTATCTTCGTAGGCTACAGTCTGCCGTTCTTTTTGCCTTTGACTTTATGCAAACATCGGCGAAAAGAAAAAACCGCCGCCTGCCGGCGTACACTACAGCGTTTGCAGATTACAAAGACGGTGATTAGAAGGGCATACGTTCAAAGGATTCAAAAAATGCATAGACAGGGGTCAAGACTAGTGTCGTCAAAACACGTTTCTAAAAATATCTCTGTTTCATGCATTGACAAAATTGTAAACAATATTATTTTTTTCAAGACAATCTCGTGCATACAGGGGATAAAGCGCAGACCAAATCGCTTAGCAATTTTAATCACTATTCGAAGGCACGTGTGGCTAAATGAAGCCTTTTTCGCTTCGTCCTAAGTGCACTTATAGTGCAACAGAAACGTTGTGTGTTTCAGCTTTCCAGCAGAGGAGTCATACTGCTTAAAAAAGCCAACGTTGTCTTGCGCGCGATTAGGTTATTATCTGGACTCTGAGTAAATGGAAACTTCCCAACCCTGTCAGACGAGATAATTATGAATGATAGACTGTCCGTTTGGTATCTTGACTGTTAATTTGCTTTTAGTCTTAGCATTGTGACTGTACAGACGATTTTCCTGACATCGCTGATTTAATTTCTCCAAAGGGGCTTTTTTCGCACTTGGGTGGTATTTTTACTTCAGACCATTCATGGCACAAAGAATCTCCCATCCACTTTTCGCGGAACTCTACCTCACTAATCCCCTACATAGGACTACCAAGTTCCATCATCAGCTGGCAATGTCATCCGAGCGTGCGTGTGTCGTTCTTGTGGAAAAAGCACGTACATATTCAGGCGACTGAGCACACATTGTCTTTGGCTCAAAAACGTCCAAATGTACAACAACGTCGTGCCCGATATAATTTATTTGAGTGGCCATTGCTGAGCCAGATTTGATTGTTTCGGGATAAAATAAGAATATCCGATTATCTGCATTATATCAGCTGTATGGAAACTGAGAATCAATGCAGTTGCGAGTCCTTGGGAAAAAAAATACCTTTATGTATTTTTTGGAAGGCAAGACTGGGTAATATACCAGGCAAGCGTAGACGGGCTCAAAACTAGGAGCAGGATCGTTTTAGTGTAGTTTATGAGTTGTTTGATACTGAACACATAGCGAAGAAAATGCATGTTGCAAGGTGTGAGATGCGACTTTTTTGAGCTTGCGTTTTTACGACGTTCGGAAGCGGATGATCTAGTATCGTAAGTGAGCAAGTTAACACAAGGCACAAATAGGTTAAACGTGTTCCTGTCGTTACTAGGGGCGATCGTTAATGTAACAATCGAGATCCCTTACACCATTCTGAAGCTTCTACTGTGAATTCTTTATTTGGTGACTGTGTTTCGGTATATACAGTATATGTGCTAACTCATGAAATGTCAACCAAAAATTCGAAATGCGTTCTCCTTTCGACAAGATAAATTAAGTAGTGTTGTAAAACTAATCATGATGCAGCAGAAATCTATAATGATCCAGCTACCTCAGGGTGTCGGCTTTCGAAGAACTTATTTTCGGCTGCATGCAAGGTCTATACCCTGCAAAAATGACTACTCAAGTAGCACGCGATTTTTTTCATTGATTTTCGATGTCCTTGAAAATTCAATTATATTTCCCGGAAAACATGAATGAAAATATTCATGCTATTACTTATTTGGTAGAAAATTACGTCTTCCTGCAAGTTCATACTCAAAAGAAGAGTATAATGAGGTTTTAACAAAGTTTCTAATTGAGAGATTTTTTAATACCGTTAAATGGCCGTTCATGAAACGTCATGTATCTGCATTTACGAAAGTGACTTGTGAAGTTAACTGCTTCATTTCATGAACCTCATATGGTCTCCTCTTAACACCGTAGAGAAATGCATGGTTTTCCGTACACGGAAAATATGCAGCTTGTAGTTTTGAAACCCTGAATGCAAGTGTAACGGCAGGTCGGGTTCAAAATTATTCGGGATTTAGAAGAGTTTTTAAAACCGAATTATACTCTTCTTTTGAGTATGAAATTGGAAGATGACGTGAGTTTCTACCGAATAAGTAAAAGAATGGATATTTTTATGCATGTATTCTATGAAATATAATTAAATTTTCAAGGGCATCGAAAATCAATGAGAAAATTGCATAATACATCAGTAGTCATTTTTTGCAGAGTATGGATCTTGCATGCAGCCGAAAATGGGTTTTTTCAATAGCTGACACTGAAAGCCGATTATTATATATTTATGCTGCATCATGTTTAGTTTTACAACACTACTTAATTTATCTTGTCGAAAGGAGAACGCATTTCGAAATTTTGGTTGACATTTCATACGTTAGCAAATCTATTGTACACTGGCAACTGCTTGCATCTGACCCGTTACTATTGTCAGTTTTTGCACCAGATTGGATTACAAGCTTACAACCAGTTCCGGCCCCCTGGCCACTCACCTACTGCTCTGATCTTGTCGACCTCGTCGGTAAGGTTTTTCCTGAGGATACTGGCGCATTACAAAATCGGATATGGGCCGCTTTCCTAACCCATCTGATTCCATGCTAGTCTCAAGCGTCCCATCGTTCGTGTGTTCGTTTATCAAGACACTTATTTGGAAAATCGAGTAAGCGGATTTCTATTCGTTGGCCGCACGGTGATAGAAGACATTAACTCCTACATTTGAACTACTTTCGAGCGTTAGAATATGAATTTTTAAACAAAATGCTTCAGATCCAGTAGAACGATTTCAGCCATCAGTACTAGCGGAAAACAGAATTCCGTTCCTGCCGACAACGTGCTTCTACCATCATGTAATTGTGGTTGAACTGCGACCAAGTCTCCGTAAGTACGGCACAATGGGACGAGTGAGTGCTGTAGCACGATCGGTGAACGTCCTTCTATCATGACAGTTGTCTGTTTTTATGCAAATCCACGTCGTCTCTGAAACTACTAGCAGATGGTTGTATAGCTTCAACTATTCACAGCGCTCGCTGCGAAAACAATCTGTCCTCCGCCAGCTTAAGCCACGAGTTTATCGGCGTCTTCAAGTACCTCGAAGCGCAGTCTCAGCAACCCCGCTAAAACCTTAATAGTGTCAGCCTGTGTTACGTCCAGGAGGGAAGTTTCATATCCTCAGGTTGCCTAGCCACCTCACAGGGCCGAATATGTGGGTGAGAATGCTTGTAAAACATATGACGAATGCCCAAGGTCTGCTGGGATTCCGAGAAAGTCTTTTCTTTCCTTTTCGTGAAACTACAAAGCTCTGATTATCTAAACGCGAAGCTCTCTTTCATTCCATTCATGTATGTTAGAGATTTTAGGGATAGGTTGACATTTGAAGAAACGCTTGTGTTTGAACTCCATCGGTCAAATTATTACCTCTTAATTACTAAACGAGAGATAGTATAGGTAAATATGAGGAAAGCGCGAGTTTGATCACAGTTTCCAACAAAACACAATCTAACTACAAGCCTCTATCATCAGGGCTGGGTCTATACCCTCTGCTATTTGTTCACTAAAGAAAGCGCTGAATAACTCGAGACGTAAGTAATACTTTAATTTAAATAGCAACAACGCCCACCGATGTATCGCGGCTGTCTTTTGCAAGTATAAATTTAGCATTTGTTGACCATATAAAGGTAATTGTTAAACATCATTAAACGTTTATACTTGTTTCTTTTCTACCGACTCATCGTGAGGGCTTAAACGTAGCAGGGAAAATCGGCGTGGAAAGTTCTTTTTAACAAATGACAATCGGATGAAACTTATACCCTCAAGACCAAAACGCGCCATTCCGCTTTTGCATGCTAAAAACTTTGGTAGTTATTGAGCGGCTCACATCTATGGTGATGGCAATTGGAAGCAGGTAATTATAGGCAAGGGTTAGCATGCTGCCGTGCAAATGAGTATTCAGTCCGAAAGTTACGATCGTCACAAGGATAAGAAATGACCCATTAGTTGGGTTTATATAGTCGTCTCAGAAACAGCTTCTTGCACTATATTTATAATGGATTTACTGAGCTGGTTGAATTAAATCGCACACCGGATGTGAAATTGCGAGTTATGAGTTTTTCGGGGTGTCCTGACATGTGTGGAGTGTAGGAATAGAAGCTATCGAAATACTAGTCCATCCATCCAAACGGTTAGTCAAGAACTGAAGACGATATGTACAAACAATCAAGGTGATAAATATACGGCTTATTTATTAGAAATGCAGAAATCACAGAATCTTATGACTAGGTCAAAGTTGCGGGAAGATGTACTCTGCTCCATCATCTCATCTAACCGGTCTAAATAAACCAACGTCCTTGTAAACTTTCTTGCTTGGAGTTTGCGACTCCTCCTGTTAATATTGTCTCGAAGTTCAAATCCTCATCGTTAAAATGGTTTTTTTATGACTTACAGAAACTGAGATAATCTGCAATATAATCATCAGCATCCGTATACTAGGAAAACGTTCACAACGCGTCTGTCTTTATTTTGGATGTTTTAACGAATACCAATACATTGATATGATTCCAGTAGCACTTTGGTTGCCTTGACGTCCAACCTTCCTTTGTGCATAGAGGCATGGCTGTCTGTGGCTTTGCTAATGAAACATGCAATGCTGTAGTTCGACTGCAATTCCAAACAGATGAACAGCTATTCCGAGAGCGTCGGCCGGTGCCATGAGTGTGTCCTTGATTGCATGTCTGTACAGTCCTCCGGTAAGACAGTATACAAGGCCCGTCAGCAGTGGAAACCACTGAGACGGGAAGTTCCTGTGACTATCGCTCAGCGATGCTAACAGAGGGTCAAAGGGCACAAAGTTATTCGCCACGGTGGCGGCAAATTGAATAACGTGCAGGAAGGCCTCCCTGTTTGGCACAACGTATAGGCCCGCATGAATGGCGTACATCATGGCACAGAACATGGACAAGAAGACCACAGCAATCAGAGCTGAATGACGTTTTGAGGAAAAGGTCAGACAGATTATAAGGTAGAAGGTGTTCATAAGGAATATGAGACTGAAGACCTCTGCAAAGTATGGGCCTGGAAAGTTATTGTAAATCTGCGTCATAACTTGCGAGAGAGCCACCAGCCCAGAGGTGAGATAATACAGGACGGTATTGGTTGACGCAAAGCGCGTCCGCATTATAATGAGACATTCAAAGATCCCAAGAAAGGCATTCGCCAATGCGGCCGCCAGGTACACTCTCTGAATAGGTGGCGTCGCCCACAGAATACTGTCCAGGTAGCCATCAAGCGTGTTCACGATGCCCTTGCGGCTGTAACTCATACCGCGCACCGCCTTATGGGTTCATGCGATGAAGGGCTGTCGCCAGAATGGTCGAGTTGAAACGGTGAAAAATCGATAAACATCACGTGGAACGTTAGGCGCCGCATCTAACTGGTCGAAGCAGTCAAGGTCAACTACAGCACCATGCGCGCAATTTTATGAGTCAGCCGAGTAGTTTTTAACTTGGTTTGCGGTGGGGAACAGAAAAAGCAGACATTGTTGATTACCAAATTATGGCTCGGAAAAGTCTAACTGCTATCAAAGTTTTGATTACGTCCTTGGAAATGCCTTTTAAATGTGGTAAAATTTGACTGCGCAGTGGAAAAGTGCGGTATGTTTGAAATGCCAAATATTGAGGACATATTGCGTTCTAAACTGAATAAGTTTGGGCCGGTTTTATGATTTTACGATAATCCGAATGCTCTGCAACAATGTTGGCTTTCGTAGAATTCTAACAAAATTACTATCAGTAAAAGGCATGCCATGCCGAGGGGGAGAATGCACGCATCCTGGCATGACAGAAATTATTTTAATGACTCCTATTTCATTCTTTATGTAGTAGTCAAAAATATTCGGAAGTATATCTACGTTGTTTTTAAATGTATACACCGATTATTTGCACGGTCGTTCCTGCTGGTTGAGAAGTTGGAGAGAAACCAATCATCCGCAACTGTCATCTTCATGAGATGAATTAACTGTGTAAACTACCAGCGGAAGGTTTCGTCAGAACCTCTTCATCCATGTCGTCACATAGTTTTAATTTTCGTTAAGTAATTATGCCTATGGTAGAGTTGGGGTTCATCGATCGTACTTACGGAATTTACTCGTTCCGTTGTGCCTTACGGGCTCTCTCTCGAGCCCAACCAGCAGCTGCACAGCGGCGCATCATATAGGCAGAATGGCAGTGCCGACAAAGACAAGGGAGGCTGGAATGAACATTTCTGGCTTATTAGCCGTAGTCAGCCAGCCATACCCAACCCCGAAGTGTGAAAAACCCGAGGCCCGAACTCGTGACCTGTTATTTAGAAGTCTACGTCTCTAACCACTGGGCCACGAGTCCGTTCCCTTGTCGGTTTCGATCGGAAATATACAATAATAGGGGGCGCGCACCCATCGTTCTTACGGAACTCACTCGTCCCGTTGTGCCTTACGGACTCTCTCTCGAGCCCAACCAGCAGCCGCACAGCGGCGCATGATATATAGGCATAATGGCGTTGCCGACAAAGACAAGGGAGACTGGAATGGCCATTTCTGGCTTATAAGCCTATGCCATCATAAGGCCAAACGCCTAAATGTTACCTCTCGCCTCCGTTGAAAATACTGAAGTTGGCTTTTTCAGACTTTGTGACACCACACTTATTACAAATATTTAGGCGTAAGAGCAAAGGGTAGAACTGTTAACTGTGTCCAAAGCGCCAACCACTAATTCTGGATATATGAGCATTTCCAGATACAGAATGGTATGCTACTTTTAGTTCATAAGCCGACGTCAGCCAGCCATTTTCAACCCGAGGTATGCGATCCCTAGCGATTGATGCGATAATTTGTTGGTTAGAAGTTCAATGCCCCAAAAACCGGAAAACGGACTCGCTGTCTGTCAGGTGCATTTCGTCAAAATCCTGCCTAAACTTCCGAGTGTACGTAATATATCTTTCCAAGCATTCTAATGTTTCTGATCTCAGAGATCAGGAGTAAGTACAACTCGTTTGGAACAACGAAGAGTTACTCCCGTCCGAGATTCTTAAGCTCCCTAACAAACAAATTCTGTGTACACGCATCTAGTCTTATTTTGGAGTCATGAAAGTGTTTGTAACCGCGATAAGTGCTTGTTCCCCCAATTCGTGTATACGTTTCCTCTGCAAGGAAACACCGAATAAAACAAACCTATGAAATTAATGTTTTGCTGTGTTTTGCCTAAACCTGATTCCCCTTTCTAATGCTCGCTGGATTTCCGCATCACCTAGACATTCCAGGATGTTTTGATTTACTTTCCAATAGGAAATAAATTTTCAAACCAGATGACAGGCGCGCTATCAACACCCACTTATAGACTATATATCTTATTTTAGTTCGCTAGGCAAATAAGTGTGCTTGTATTCAGTAAAGCTATTTATATTCAAAATACGTCGCAGGACTTTCTATTATTTATAAGCATATTCGTGATTTGAGAGCACGTTTATTAGAAAATTACAACCGGCTATTTCGTCAGTGTCTACCTTTTCTATGAGCGACTGACATGGATTTGTTAATTGGGGAGCAGCTAGCATTTACTGAGTATGTTATTTCAAGAGTTAAGTAAACTTTCAGGCCATCTTCATTAGATATGCTGACTCATGAAATGTCAACTAAAATTCTGAAATGCGTTCTCGTTTCGAAAAGATAAATTATATATTGTTGTACAACTAATCATGATGCAGAATAAATCTTTAATGATCCAGTTACCTGAGGGTTTCGGCTGTCGAAAGAACTTATTTTCGGCTGCATGCAAGAACCATACTCTGCAAAAACGACTACTTATGCAGTATGCAACTTTCTCATTGATTTTCGATGTCCTTGAAAATTCAATTATATTTCATGAAAAACATGGATAAAAGTATTCATTCGTTAACTTATTCGGTAGAAAATTACACCTTCTTGCAATTTCATACTCAAAAGAAGAGTATAATGCGGTTTTAAAAAAGTTTTTAACGGTGAGATTTTTTAATACCATTAAATGGTCGTTCATGAAACGTCATGTATCTGCATTAACGAATGTGGCTTGTAAAGTTAACAATATTGCTCAAATCCACTGCTTAATTTTATGAACCTCATATGGTCTCCTCTTAACACCATAGAGAAATGCATGGTTTTCCGTACACGGAAAACATACAGCTTGTAGGTGTGAAACCCTGGATGAAAGTGTAACTGCAGGTTGGGTTCAAAATTATTCGGGAATTAGATATGTTTTTTCAAAACCGAACTATACTCTTTTGAGTATGAAATTGGAAGAATACGTGATTTTCTACCGAATAAGTAAAATAATGAATGCTTTCATGCATGATTTCCATGAAATATAATTGCACTTTCGAAGGCATCGAAAATCAATGAAAAAATTGCATGCTACGTAAGTAGTCATTTTTTTGCAGAGTATAGGTCTTTCATGCAGCCGTAAATAAGTTCTTTCGAAATGACACCGTGAGGTAACTGGATCATTATAGATTTATTCTGCATCATGATTAGTTTTACAACACTACTTAATTTATCTTTTCGAAACGAGAACGAATTTCGAACTTTTGGTTGACATTTCATGCGTTAGCACATCTACTATACTCGCAGACTGTGCTGTGAGTTGAACAACTTTGCCTTTTTATACACTGCTCACCGATTTAGGTTGACAAAGTTGACCTCGAATGATCAACTTTATCTCATTTCTGCCGAAAACGCTACCGATTACCCTACACCTATTACACATGCTTCTGTTGGTTAAAATAACTGATGATTTAACCTATCCACAGTCTGCGGTAGCAGTTAGCGGTTGGCCCCTAATTGATCAATGTTTGGTCAAAGTTTCATTTCGGAGCAGCATTGACTTGAAGTCTTAGCTCATGCCTGACTGAAATTTTCTTATCTGGAGGGACACACCGGACAGGGGCTTGGACACATGGTGGCATGCGTGCTTGGCTAAATCATCTAATATGACGACCATTTACTTCATCAACGGTAGCATTTTGTTTGCGCACTTGGTTTTGAAGAATTAATTGTCAAAATAAGCAGACTAGAGATCTAAAGAAAGCATTTCAATAGGGGCAGAAGGTGCGATAGGTAAAAGAATAGGCTTTTGGTCCGACATTTTGAATTCCCACTACATTGCATCACCTGTGAAGGTTGTTGAGAAGGGTACTTACGCCAGGAGAAACGCGTTATCTACAGCACAGAACTTTTATGCCACCTCAGGCCGATTGTAAGTAACAGCACCAAAGTACATCACCGGCTGTTGCTTTTGATGCGATTAGTGTTTGCTGGTCTTCACCCAAGTCAATAACTAAAGAAACTCATTTACCGTTTATGATCCTTGGTAGGAATATTGCCTCACATTCTGACCCTCTGCCATTGGAGGTGTTGGTCGCGTTACTAACTGTCTTACCCACGCAAAGTCTCAGTACCGGATAGTGAATCGAAATATCACTCCGCATACTGATCGACTGCCGGCCGGAGAACTATGAATCAAGCAGCTTGTAAGTCATGCAGCGTTCCCCGTTCTCAGATATATCAGCTCTTCAGGCTTACAGATCAAATATGCGGCGACCTGAGAGTGAGCGTAATTCCTCCTCTCTCTGCCGCTGCATGTTCAGGCCTTCGCATGCGAATTAATTTTCCACTTTCCCTGACGACGTCGCCTTGTCCGCATCTACACCACATCCGGTAAACAACACCAGTGTGTATTTGGCCTGGCGCCAGGCCAATAAACTGCGTGTTTCCGTGATCGCATTTGTTTCTTCTAAGCTGTAATATTTATTTCAGGGACCAACCTTTGAGGTCAACTGCCTTCTTTAGGTGAACGTTTGCAGACAACACGTGCCGTTGACATTATGGGAGACTTTGAACGTGTCTGCAGGCAAATAAATGTGTATTGAGGTGAAGGGACGTTTCCATTGCGAGTCCTAATCTGTCGCACTTATATTCTGACAGTACACGGTGGATTTGGTAAAGAACTCGAGGAAGACAGTACATCTGACCCCTTTCAGTGTATACTAAAACATATGCCGATAGGACAGTACTTATGGTCAAAATCAGTACACTGAGGTAACTCTTCTCCAAAAGTTTAAACTTTGATCCCTACTCCGAAAGATAGGGAATGTAAGCTTAGAGACAGATATCAGTATTTTGTTTATCCTTTCGCACTAAAAAAATTAAGGAAGACCTTGCTGCCAATTCACGGATCTGGTCTAGTGTGACGCATAAGCTTCTGAGGGGCTATATCGTATCAACTCTCGGTGAATCCGACCTACGTATCATATCCACTTTCAAATTTGTTGTACTGAAGGTCATCCACCGCCGGTGAGAACGCCGAATACTTACTACATAAATAACTATCTTGGATTCCAGTAGGTAAATTCAGCAGTAATCAGTCAATTGTGTCTCAGTTTCAACTTTGTTTAGACTACGTGAATCAGCATTGCGATCACGCTATTAGGGAATATTTGTAATACCGTAGGAGAACCCCAATTACAATAACGTGTGAGGCATGAAATAACCCCTCAATATGAAAGTATATTTTAGAAAGCCGTATTCGCAACCCCTTTCATTGCAGGGAAGTTGATTCCTCCCTTCACGAATTCCCTGTCCCACTTTCACCGTCTCGAGTAACGATGTCCTACGGCTGCAGCACAGTGCGCTGCTCGCAGGGTGGTTTTTGCGTGTAAATTAGTCTGTATTTGTAGCATACTGGTGGGATGTCTGCCAGGCTCTCTACTCCCCTGGCTCTGGTAGCAAGGCCGTGCCACGGGCATATTGCCTGAAAATGTAAACAATCCATCTACGCGTGCCACGCGCGATCCAAATCAATTTTCACAGTAGCAAGGAAGTACCTCTTATCCCATCTGATCGGGACTGGTATAGAAAAGATATACAGAAAGGGTCACTCAAACCAGACTCCCTGTCCTAGAGGGAGGACGGAGACATGCAGTCAGATGGCATCATTCCAAGCCGAGCGTTTGGCCAGTCATGGCAGATTTGGGCGCGTCTGGCTTGGTATAGTGAGAAATACGCTGAAGCTACGTGGGAGTTAAGTTATTAGATTTTGCGTCACCCTCTCTTATCTCTCCCATCCACCAGTTCGTCGCCTATGCCTGCCGGTTATTTCTATTGATGTTAGGCGATTTGTCCACTGGACTTCGACATCTCATCTACAAGAACTGGGTCGCATCAAGGATGTGCTTCCTACTTAAACAGGATATGCCTTTTCTGAACCTTGGTCCGTGGTGTTTTACTACAGATTTTCATGCAGACGCAAATGGCCGAATAGGAGAATGTATGATCGTGTGCGTTATGGGTAGTTGGATGCTTTTTCTCCTGCCGTTTGTTCGTCAGTGTGATGAGTGCCGATGCTTGACGTAAACAGGGCGGATTAATATTCACTGAACTGATGACGGTAGCTAGGTTGTTAGTGAGGAAGCTAATGATACTGATGCCTGAGGGAACATCTTATGATATGCAGTTGTTTCACGTCATTTGAAATTTAGACTGTCAATTTGGGCATAAAAGTCGTGCAAATACAGTGGGACCAACTGATTTTGGAGTGTTTAGACGCACCTCGTCCAAACAATTTACTGACTAAAGTGGTGTTTTGGTGCAAACGAAACTACGAGCTACGCAGGGAGAGTGAGGCGAAGAAGGCCACATCACTGCTGTAGGAGTTTATTCTTTTGACGTTTCAGATTTCCACTCAGACCTGTCAACAGATAACAGTTCGCCATGTGATGCCCGGCAAGGCGAGGCAGGCGTTGTGATTTGTGCGCGAATTACAGTAGATGTGCTATATCATGAAATGTCAGCCAAACTTTCGAAATGCGTTCTCGTTTCGAAAAGGTAAAGTATATATTTTTGTACAACTAATCATGATGCAGCATAAATCTATAATGATCCAGTTACCTCAGGATGTCAGCTTTCGAAAGAACTTGTTTTCGGCTGCACGCAAGATCAATAATCTGCAAAAATGACTGCTTATGTAGCATGCAATTTTCTCATTGATTTTCGATGCCCTTGAAAATACATTTATATTTCATGGAAAAAATGCATAAAATATTCATTCTTTTACTCATTCGTTAGAAAATCAGGTCTTCTTCTGATTTTATACTCAAAAGAAGAGTATAATTCGGTTTTAAAAAAGTTTCTAATTGTGAGATTTTTTTAATACAGTGAAATGACCTTTCCTGAAACGTCGTGTTTTCGCACTTACGAATGTGGCTTGTAAAATTAACAATATTGCTTAATTCCACTGCTTAATTTTATGAATCTAATATAGTATGCTCTTAACACCGTAGAGAAATGCATGGTTTTTCGTACATGGAAAATATACAGCTTGTAGTTTTGAAACCCTGAATGCAAGTGTGACTGCAGATCGGGTGCAAAATTATTCGGAAATTAGGAAAATTGTTTTAAACCAAATTATACTCTTCTTTTGACTATGAAATTGGAAGAAGACGTGATTTTATACCGAATAAGTAAAGGAAGGAATATTTGTATGCATGCTTTCCATAAATATAATTGAATTTTCAAGGGCATCGAAAATCAATGAGAAAAGTATATGCTACTTATGTAGTCATTTTTGCAGAGTATAGATATTGCATGCAGCCGAAAATACGTTCCTTCGAAAGCCGACACCCTGTGGTAACTAGATCATTATAGATTTATGCTGCATCATGATTAGTTTTACAACAACACTTAATTTATCTTTTCGAAACGAGAACGCATTTCGTTATTCTGGTTGACATTTCATGAGTTAGCACATCTACTGTAGTTTTTAGTGATAGTGGTCTCTCGCAGCATCTGCCGCGCTCTATCCTCCTCCCCTCCTTGAACCGGGTGTCATGAGAAAGTCAGAAAGATCGGAAGCGGGAGATGGCGCAGTTGGTGAGCATGTGCAATCCCGCACCTAGACTTGCCATCAAAACACCCTGTGTGTAACAAACACTTGACCAGGATTTTAATCAATAACAACAACAGAAGTAGTAATAAAGGGTCAGAAAGACAATGAGGGTGACGGGGCAACCGTGCGTTTGATCCGTATACCCGGCGTGGGAGCAAGCGCATCTGCCGACAGGAAACCGGGTTTCAGAAAAATAACAGCGTACACCTGACTGCGATGGTCATGGCTTGCCGATTATGACACAGCGGACGCTCACACGCCTTAGGCCCAGAAGGTTGGCACAGAGCCCGGCATTAGCCTGGGTCACGAGCCCTCGAAGGCTCCGCTTACTGACACAGATCACAACAATACTCATCAGAACGATCTGAAAATCAAGAACGGAGCCTGTGAAATCTCATTCTGATTTTAGCAATTGCGAAATGTACAGACCCTTTCAACTATTAGCGCATTTGACTATTCTGACTGCGGAATTTCCACCTCCTTATAATCAACCCCAAGTACGTATTCTTCATGCAATCAAATAATCCCAAAAAGTCAATTCGAGAAGGAAGAGTCAGTCCAGAGGTTCTAATAATCTGGCTTCGGCAACTCATGAGGCCAAAGTGTGTGGCGACATTTGAACGATCGCCAACAGATTCTCGCTGAAGGTTGCATGTTTACCGGATTCTTGACCAAGGAGTTGCGAATTTTGCGTGTGTTTTTTTAAATACCTCATTTAATTTTGGACTTCTAACAAGATAGTCGTGGTGTATTTGACTCACGTAGCAGGTAACAATTAAGCCATGCCTTTAGCGTTTAATAAAATCTTAAAATTGAACCCATTAATTAAGATGGACGATACTTCCCTGCATGTCGGTTTTAGACTGAGTAAATTTTCAAACGATTGCTCAAATTACACCCAGAAGGGCCTTACCGCAAATGTTCTCGTCCCTTTCTAGAGAAATGCAATGCCGGTGTATATACTGTTATATTTTAGACGAAAGATTCCTCAACGGTTTATTTTATTATGCTGGTCTTCTGAGAACTCTTGAGACGGATGTAAGAGTAGTTTGTCCGTTTACGACCATAACGTTTTTGATACCGAGTAGCAGTTACGCAATAGTATGCTTATCTGTTCGCAATAATATGTAGGCTTCGTTAACTGAATCTGAAGGAAGACGAAAAGTTGTACAACCGAAAAACCGCGCGGCTGGAAGTATACTCAGAGATGTCTTATGACGAAGCAATTACAAAGCAACAGACACAAGGTAACCAACTAGTTACCAACAAAATGCTTTGTTGCTCGAACGGCCTTATTTCTCGCTTAGACAATGACTGTTCGTAAAGCCAACACGTTATGGGAAGGAGCACACAAAAGTAGAGAATGAAATATAAGTTATGGGATGAAGGGTAACTGTGATCGATCCCAACATGTGCGTTTTAACTGAGTTGTACAATGTTCCACACCAACGAGTGGACCTGGAAAGGCTAGGATATGGTAAATGACCAGGACTACTTACTGCGGCGAGCAACTGTGTTAAGCAAAACATCTAAGAACTTTGTGGCATTAAACGTTTTGTTCCAACCTATTACCAGCAATTAAAAATGATAATGTTTTTACCATTTTAGAAATAGTAGAGGAATCTAATGCTCCATTATAGGCATAAAGGTATTTATTTGTTGTCATTTTACTACGATGACGAATTAAAAGCATTTTGACCACCACGAGGTCCTTTTATGCCTTGATCTGGTACGAAGTGGTAAATATCACTAGGTATCTTCTGTCAGCGCAGTTGCTCCCCTGATTAAGTAACCTCCTCCTTAAATTATATACTTTTAGCTGAAAACACAGGTTCGCTTCTGATATCTGCGTGTTGGTTCAAGCTCACAGAACGGCAGGCAGTCACGTAATCCCTAAATTATTACAATCATCGCCGTTTCATCTACCATAATACTCCATGTTGGCAGGCCCTTTAAAGCCAAAACGATTAAATAAATTAAGAGAATAAGCGAAGTATCTGGCTTTTTAGGGTTAGAGGAAAATATATGATGGGCACCCGAATCAGCAAATAACAGTGTTTGTTGAAGTCATACGGAGGTCTTGTGGACAAAAGGGTTGCTTCTGTCGACTGACCCTGTTATATAAATTATTTCAATATATAACGCTTCCCAGAATTTAATAATTATGCTGAGTAAGTTTATACCTAAAGTGATTTCATAAATATTATCAAGTTAAATCAAACTCATTTAGCTGTGGAAGGTAAAAACTGAAAAAGCATAGTTGTAGGGCACGCTCCCCGATCGTTCTTACGGAATTCACTCGTTTCGTTGAGCCTTACGGGCTCTCTCTCGAACCCAACCAGCAGCCGCACAGCGGCGCATGATATAGGCAGAATGGCATTACGGACAAAGACAAAGCATATATAATTGTTTTACAAGTCATACAGGATTGCACCGCCACTGGTTACTTGGCTAAACTTGCTTTTTCGTATTTAATTCATCTGCTGTTCCAGTTATTCCTTTTGATCGTAAAAACAAATACGCTGCTCACTTTTGGTCCGTTGGGAACGCATTGTAAACAGCACTAGCAAAAAACCCTATTGGCACGACGTCTGTCTAAACGTATGAATAAGCCCTTGTTGTAGTTTGCTGTAATGGGCAAAGAATTGTTTGAATCTACTGGATTAGATGTAATTTGCCTTTGTATGATTTGACACGATTTGGACACCATACATATGTCCTTTTTGTATGCTTTTATGAACATTCCATCGACATCAGAGTTAAACGGTACAAGCTTCCAGGGGATTATTTATGGGCTTCCAAAAATTAATGGCCGGTAGCAAATAGGTGTGTCATGCCAATGGCAACATTAAATTGCCAACCCCACCTGCTTTATGCATATTTTATAGTTCTGGACAGAAAGCCTTCACAAACACGAGGTATCCCAAAATAGACGCCCAGTGAAACATCCGATGAAAATATTCTAAAATTATTCACCCGCTCACCTTTCGGGGATTATCAGTTAAAAAGGCGCATTCTACGCCGATACGGGTGTAAATTAATGAGAACGGTCCTTATAAGGATGCATACGACGATGCACTCATTCCAAAAAACATTAAACAGAGTTCAAATTGTAATTTGGACTTCATATGTTTGCGTTTGACAAGTTTTCTTTAGGTCAGTAGATGAAAATATGAGTCAAAAGATACCGACAAGTGGATAATAATGGTGTAGCTCGGATTGGGGGGTAGTGAAACGGCAAGCTTCCGGCCAGACCAGAAAGGTAATTATATGTGAGTGGCTGGTTTGGCGGCTTTTAACCAGGGCAACTGCGGGATCTGCTGTATGCATAAGACCATCTCGGGTAGCCTGATTTTACCTGACTCTGTCGTCGTCAAAGATACTGTCCAAGTAGTTTTCTAGAATCTGACGGAATACCGCAGAGTGATAAGATCGCAACTTTATTTAATATGCTTCGACTGTGCACCACTATTTTGTCTACTGAGGACATAACCATAGCCACGAATCATCAGGAAAGCTTGTAAGGAGAGTAACTAGTGAGTAACTGCTTCACTTTAATTGGTGCTACCGTAAAGCTTGCCTTACCGAATCACGATCGGTAACTGAGACTGCGGAACTTCGTTTTTAGAAAAAGGCATACGGTTTTGATACAACTTCGACAAAAAACGTTTCTAAATAGTTGCTGTATGGAAACGCACTCCTGTTCTCGGTACTATTGGAAACATGACGTTTACGCAACACGGCTGACAATAGCTACGTATCTGAGAACATAAACTGAAAGGAAATCAGAAGATAGATAACGTTCTTGATTCCTGGTTCTATTCATTTACGTTATCAGCTGCTCCACGAGCAAAGCAGATGACAGGTTGAACAAGAACCTCGACAAAGCAAGTAATCACTGTCTGTAGTCTCTATCGCATTTTGAGAAAGAGCATAATTCTAATGGGCAACTACTTTGTTGTTTATCAAGAATATTTTGCGCATTTTTGGTTCATCCCAGCTCAAGTACTATTCTTAGAAAGGTTTCTGAAATCTGCCGGGAAGTATGGAGCGGCAACAAAAGGACTGTGTATCTTGCCAGCGACAATTACATTTCTACACGCCAGGAAGGCGTATCTGTTATCCGTTAGACCTGAAAAACTTTAAAGAACGCCGTTGCGAGTGTATGACAAAAAACGTCTATGGGTGCTTAAGAACGCAGCGCCCTCTCATGAATAAATAACGAACAGTACTCAGACACTGCGTCGCTGCAATCATTTGTTCAATGCTGGCGCACCCAATGGAATTATGTCTCTTTTCTTTTGTGACGTCTTTCTTGCCTATATGCAGAAACAGAAACCGTTAACAAAACTATCTAGTTGATGCCCAAAGTGTTAAAATGAACTTATATTTTACAAACCAGGCTGCATGGTTTAGAAAATTCAACAGAATAAGCATGTCCCTCCAGTTGATCAAGACTAGTTTTAAAACACATAGACAGCTAGCGCATCGCTGAAATGTGATGCTCTTAAAAACGGACAGTTTGCTAAACGAATGAGTCCGAAACAACGGAACATGTAATGTAGCTAGCACGTATGCACTAAAAGAAGATATGGCATACGTACAATGAAAAAAACCAGTTGAACTACTTGCAGGTGTCAAGGCAGTTTGTAAACGTCAGGTTAAATGTAACACATTTTTACCGCGTCTACAGAGGCTGAATGACAAAAAACGTAACAGAATATATGATGCGTTTGCCAGAGAAAAGTTAAATGTGCCTATTCATTCCGGTGGACACTACAATCCTCGACTATGTAGATATTGGTCGGGACGTTGAACACATGAACCATCAAAACGTGAGGACTATATAGGACTGGGAAAAAAACCAGAACTGTGGGTATGCGATATTAGGGTGCAAAATGTCTTACGCTTTGGTGACATATGACTTGATATGATCCTCGGATAATGAAGATGTAGGTATATGCATTTTGAATAGTGTGATATCTTTAAAAACTAAACAGCTTACACTATCATGTGTTAGAACTGACTACCAAGGTCGCAGACAAACAGAAAGGACGACAGAAAGCACGGAAATACCGAAGAAATTGAAAAACACATTTATTACCTTTGCGTTATTTCTCGCCAAATTATTTTATCTTCCTTTCTATCAGTATGTACATGCACGCGCCTGTGACGAAAAAAACGATCAAAGCAACCAAATCATTATTGTTTTTATATTTCTAGAAACGGACAGGCTTCCATTTTCTGAAGTAGGTTTCGCAACGCCCTTAGCAGCTTTTAATGAGAATCGTCTATTCTGACGTGTTCTTCTACTCAAAGCTCTTTCCACAGCCCCCATCACAAAAGGCTTAAAAACTTCAAAACTGCAAATATAAGCAAACAAATTATTGCTACTGGCTAATTTGACCTCAGTTCTCATTTTGATTTTTCGTGTCCTATAAATTGAGCCCGGGTACGATTTAATTTTGGAACAAGACAGCTAAGCGGCGTCATGTCATCCAACTGCTCAAAATTATGAAGCGACAACCTGCGGATAGGCGGCCGATCCGTGAGGCGGAATTTGGGCCGGAAACAGCTGAAGGCGGACGAGATCAGAGCTAGAACTTAGGCGGACGAGAGTTTCGTTGGACATTAAAGCAGTTGTAGGAGAACTCAAGGAGAACAGGAACGCCCGAGACCTCCTACCGAGCTTAAGGTCGTATGTGCGTGAGGGCAGGCTGTGCGTGAACATTAGAGCGTGAAACCGACCACACACAAGTGCAGACTAGCGAAAACAAAGAAAAAGAAGAGAAACGACGGATATGGACTACAGAGCTTAAGAAGAATTGTCGGAATAAGACCATCAAACCTTATGACTACAGGCATGGGGTTGACGGACTTTGAAATCCGGACGCGGTCCCCAGGGACCACCCGGGAAAAATATGTGCCATCACGGCAACCACCCCGGGGGACCATTTAGGAGGAGAGACGCTCTTGAACACCGTCAGACGCGGTAAAAACCCAACTTGGATAATTAGAATATTTTGTTTTTTTTAAAAAAAGGTGGGTATTGTTTTCACGGTCGGTTTTCTCTTAAATGTTTTACAAGACACGGGCATCATTCTTTTCTTAACACTTTACGTGTTAACTCTTGTGTAAGTAGTAGTATGGAGTGTGTAAAATCGTATTGCCTTAATGGGAGAATATAGAGGACAATTTTTTCTGTTTGCTTCAAGAGTAAAAACACCTTTACCGCAGGAAATCTGAAGTCAAGTGCTTGTGTAATATAATGACTGTAGCAAAAAGCACTCGACAGGGATTGTGCGTTCTTGGATGTTTGCGTTAGTAGCGAGAATGGCCCACACCTTTTCTGAAGACTGCGCTCATGTATGTGTATTGTTGTCTCAAATTACTTAAGAGTTTCACGAAAGTATATTTCCGTGCCTCGATGCATTATTTTGAATAAATAATTTCTGATAAACTGATATATCAGGCGGCTGATTGCTAAAGTTCTGGCCACCAATACAGTCACAATTTGAGCTAGGGTTTTTCCGAGTTTTATGATAACGCTAGCAAGAGGTGTTGGCGTTAAGGCCTGTCTTTCACGCTCGGACTTTTTTTCATCTATTTTTGCCGGCATTTTCCGAGCAAAACGCCCGGCTTAGCTGCTGATCTTATGACGTTTACGGGAATTCAGTTCGTCTGTAGACGCCTTGCGCAAAGTGGGGGGCACTCAAGCTGACAGTTTTTGCTACGCAAAACATTGGTCAACCCGCAGTAAACAGTTGCTTTAAGTTTGTTGCTATTTTTGAGGACTAACAGATCTTATAGATATCAAATGGTCGTTATTTTAACGCTCACCACCACCTGAGCAGATGTCACTATGATGTTAAGTAAAGTTTGCAAACAGTTTAAATTTGGTAATGCTAAATTCGTCATTGATACACCAAAGTCAAAAATAAAGTCTACCAGTGTAGAAAATCGCACAACAATGTTTAGGCGGCGAGGTCGGATAGCTTCCTGTTTGTATATCGCCCGACGATCCAAGGAAAAAGTATTTAAAATGATTTTAAGAAAAATACTAAGGCGCGTTACTTGACATGGAGTATTGCATTAAGGATTTTATGCGGTATAGCAGTCACCTACGCAATCCAATTTTATGGTTTCTTCCGTCTGGCTAAGTGGCGCATGAAGTATATAATATTGGAAATCTTGACTTTTACGCTTTTTTCTCCTCGATTTTATGGTGTTTTTGGACTCTTAATGATAGATAATGAAGTATGATCAGGGTAACAAATACTTCTTGCAATCATGTAAATAATTTGGATCCTTTGGACGCGTTTTTAGGAAAAAACAGTAATCTTTAGCGTTTGAAGCCGTCTGCGAGTTGTCGTTTGTGAAATCTGCGTGAAGTTATTTCTTTATTGATAGCAGACCATAAAAAAAAGTTTATGCTACACTTTAATATTTATTTGATTAACTATATCAGATGGGGAGGCATGCGGAGTTTTGCAATATGAAGTGCCGGATTGCATAAATATATCCCGTTGTCATAAAATCCCCATTTGAATACCATGTCCCTAAAAACTTACTCTTGGACATACAACGTCTTTTCCAGTGATTCCTTCTTAGGACCCGTAAACAATGCAACCCGTCCGACAGCCTAAATTATTCAGTTTCGTTCTGAAGATTTACTGCGGGCATGCCGCACAGAAAAGCCTAAACATTCTAGCACTAGAAAGTGGACTACTCTTCAGAAGAGGCTATGACCCTGTTTTTGCTCTTTTTGAACGCCCATCTTCTGCTTTTGTCAAGTCACGAAAGTGAACCCAATAAATTACTAACGAGCGTCAGTGACACTTTGTAGGGCAAAAACAACGCAATTCTGAGGCCGCGCCTGCTTTGATCATCCTAAGCCAAGTTCTGTATTTCCTGCCAATCATATCCAGAGGCAAACCGTGATCGTGGATATTTTTTAACAATATCTTTAAAAGTTTTGGGCATCATCATGCGACCATTCGGACTTAATCAAGGCTGAAATCAATGATATGGCCCTAAAACCTTTATTGTCCTCTTTCGTACTCGTCTTGCCCTTGAAACCTTTGTGTATTTTCCTTTGCCACACGGTCACTGCGCAGTAAATTTAATCTTCTTTGCACGCTATCGCACGTTGCAACCATTTGACCGGATAATTTGTGTAGCAGTCTTATTTGAATTTTTTTCAAGATGATTAGAAGCTAGGTTTGCAAAAGGGGATACGAGGTTTCAAGATTTACTCTCGTCTGACGTCTCTGTAGTCTTTGCTGTCCTTTAAGCGTTTCATTATTAAAAATATGTTTTCGCAAGCAGTAGACAAGACTTGGTTGTGTATGCAGGCATCAAGGATTGGAAATGGATGAGGTTAACATAAGACCAGTAATAGGCTGCAAGCGCCGATGAGGTTTTGGCTGTTTAAAGACTTTCAATCGGTATTATCGTGACATCTGTAGTGTTTTTGTCAATTTCCTTTGTAATAAGTATACTTTTAGATAATAAAAAACCTTTATTAATGATGCAACATCATTGTCTTAGTTAAAACGAGGCATAATTTTCAGCGTTTTACTTCATGTGAAATTGCATACGTTTATTTGCCCCAATAAATGATAAATGAGAATGCTACACCATTAAATCACCGAGCAGACGTACGTCATCCATTTTAAACATAGGTAGGAGTAAGATGAGTAAATTGTGTTGCGGCATAGATGAATTTAGAAAAAACGCAATTTTGATTTCAAAAAGCTGGAAAAGTTAATTTCAGGTCGCAAACAAATAAATGGAATCTCCAGGTAACGATTATGCTGTGTACTGTTTCTAAAAATCAAAATCAATTTTGTATACATGTCTATATAATTACAATTTTATAGCACCTGCAGATTTTTGAATTTACCAAGATAACCAGATTATATTGTCTATAATAATTTCGGACCGGTGTGCATTATAAAAGTTTTTTATTCAAAAATTGGGTGGTTTATTGCATAAAATTATGGCGTTGGTTAAAAGATTTTCCTCAGATAAAACCGCACGAAATTACGCGAACTTAATTACATGGAAAGGCTGTAATTCTGTCCTATGATGGCATGAACGTGTACTTACAGTTAAATGTTTGTACTTTTGTACTTATACGAGATGAGTATTTTCGAAAACATCGTTTCAATTAGTGCGAAGTCCCTGTGAATTGTAAGGTGATCTAATGCAGTTGAGTTATTTCCTTGATGATCTTTTTTAAAAAAATATTTTGTGTACGGATTGCTTTACCAATCAAAACGCTTTTTAAGTTAGGACGCTTGCAAACGAATAACTCTCCAAAAATGCAGTTCTCAGCGCTGATTTACATGTCTGTGCGTTCATAATTGTAGACAGTATGAAACGTTGTCGAGCGGAAACGCGTTTGGACAATGTCAGTAATTAAGTCACAATTGGTAGAAACTGACCGTTTTATCCATGCGCTGCCAGAATGTCTGGAAGTTAGTCCGTTGCTGGAATCATGTGAAACAGCGGACGGAGTTAGCATACCAGTTGGCGAATCATTTAATTCCTGATCGGTCGCGGAAATGCTGCCGCTGTTTATACGCAGCGATTGTGTTGACACAGCGGTACGTTTAATCAGCACACGCGTTGGTGAATCGTCCTTGGACTGTAAGGATAGAGCAACGCTTAGCATAGGAGACTGGTCTGGAAACAAACATATCAAAAGACCTGCCCTGATTGGAAATTTAATATGTTGGAAAGGCAACGCTCGCTGCCTACAGCAGGAAGGCTAACCTGCGTGCAAACCTCTTAGACATTATCTAGAACGCATGTCAAGAATGCATACAACGTTTCCAATGGGACCGACGTGCACATAGCAATTCACTTTTGATCGTCGAATGGCTACTTACTGGAGGTGTTGCAGTTATCCAATGTAGAGTATTAAAAAAGCCATAGATAAAATAAAATTAATAAAACAACATACATACAACACTATACTTTTCAGATCCAGTAATCGAATTTTCCAGGGTGCTGTGCAGTCACCTAGGTTCTTTTATTATCTATATATATTATATATTGTACTATATTATATATAATACATAATATAATTATATAATATATAATAATATAATAAAATGTAAATTTCGTAAATTTTATATACAACAATACACTTTTCGGATCAGGTGTTCTAATGTTCTAGGGTGCTGTGCAGTCAGATAGGTCCTTATTACGCAGCAATTTGGAGACAGAAGGGCTCACGTTTCCCATTAACAAAGTAAAGTCATTGTGTTCCCCAGTTTGCATGCTCAAGCTTTAAAATAAACAAGACCACTTTTGTAAATACGTGGTTAGCCTTTGAGTAGAGTAAATGATTTTGCTATTTTGAGAAAGTAAACTTTTGCCAACCGGGACATCAAGAAGCTGGGGAGGTTTAAAAACTGTTGCTGTTATCTTTTCCATTAAGATGCGCTCTGAACATGCTTGCAAATAAAGCAGTGTATTGTTTGTCGAAATGGTTTTGCGGCTAATAACTATCGGAATACTTTTGCCTGAATAAAAACTTTCGTTAGAAATGATTTTAAAAGGAAAAAACGAAAGACCATTTCTCTTAATTTAACTGCAAACTGAACTAAAGCCTCCCCCATTTATTGCCATCTTAAATGTTCAGGATCTAGTGACAAATTATTTTTGTGCGACATCAATATAACAACGAAGTTTCTATATATAGCCTTTTAATTTACATTTTTGAACGCATTCATGTTTCCAGGTGAGCTTAGCGTGTCGACGACGTTATGCGCTTGTCTACAACACCGAACTCTTTTGTCTCTTTGCGTCTTTCTAGAGTTAAATCTGGCTTTATATCCAATGAGAAAAAAATATAGATTCTGATCTCCGAACACACCCATTTTACAGTGGAAGATATTCAAATATTCAGACATTCCTAACTGGGCCGTCGCATGTTTTTAAATTAGGATTCTAAGGCGCTAACACTTACTTGACCTTCAAGCACACGTTTCAAAAACAAATGAATATGCAGCAAAGAGATTATAGAATGCAGCTGTCGTGCATTCCTTCTGACAACTGGAACGAGATTTATTCAAGCATTCGACATCGATGAACTAAGTGAACACTTGTAAAATGTCATTTTTTTCTTTGGCAATCAGGACAATCTAGAACATGAATAGGATTGCTATCATGACTTAATCTGCATGAATTTACAACAGGTGGGCTAACTCATAAAATGTCAACCGAAATTCCGAAATGGGTTTTCGTTTCGAAAAGATTGTTTACGTAGTATTGTAAAACTGGTCATCCTGCAGTATACCTCTACAATAATTCAGTTGCTGTCAGATGCCGGATTCCAAACGAACATCTTTTCTGCTGCATGCAGAAACTATATTCTGTAAAAAATGGCCACTTACGTAGCAGGACTTTTTTTCATTGATTTTCGATGACCTTACAAATTCAATTATATTTCACGGAAAACATGCACCAAATATATATTTTTTTGCTTATCCGGTAAACAGTCACGTCTTGCTTCAATATTATACTCCCAGAAAGGGTATAATTTAGTTTTAGAAACTTTTCTAATTTCAAATAATTTTGAACCCGACGTGCCGTTGCACTTACATTCAGGGTTCCAAACTACAAGCCGTAAATCTTCCGTGTTTGGATAACCATAAATTTCTTAGGTATATAAAGAAGACCGTATGGTGTTCAAAAAATTTGACAGTGGTGTTGGGCTACATTACTGACATTAACAGCCACAGTGGTGAATTTGAAAACATGACACTTTACGACGAGACATTTCAACGTATCAAAATATCTTAACATTAAGAGGTTTTTTAGAAGCGTAGTTATACTCTTCTTTTGAGTATAAAATTGAAAGAAAACCGAATAAGTAAAGCAATGAATATTTTGTGCATGTTTTCCGTGAAATATCTTTGAATATTTAGTAACATCTAAAGCCAATGGGAAAAATGCATGCAGAGTGTGGATTTGCATGCAGTCTCAACGAAGTTCTTTCGAAAGCCAGCATACTGTGGTAACTAAATTGCTGTGCTATGCGATGCGCTATGCGATGTGCTATGCGATGATTAGTTTTACAAGCCTACTTAATTAATCTTTTCGAAAAGAAAATACATTACAGAATTCCGGTTGACATTTCATGAGTGACTACACCTACTGTATATACTAGGCAAGATATGCTGATTGTCAAATGCTGGCCGCGCAATCCAATTATGACTCATGAATAGTGGAATGAATATGATAATCATTTGTCGCTCTAAGCACAAGCCCAAACGCTTGCAGCCTTTTAAATGCCAAACTATCTGCCAAAATTAAACGACGGGAATAAAATCTCATAAGTAACAAGAAGAACAATTATCACTTGCGTCCTCATAAAGTATATATTTCTGAGCGTCGCACTGAACATAGGAATATGCACTATGCTATTCCGATTGCCGATAAAGTTTACCATCATACAGCTGCGAATTAGGTTGCCAGAGGCAAGTGGAATACAATACTTTTTGAAGCCCACGTATTAAACAACGACACCTAGCATAATCGGCAGCTCTCTTATTCGTTGCTGACGTCTTGTTTATCCTTACAGAGTTGTCACAGTCACCAGCAAGGGTTGGGCATGCCACAAATTACGGAACGTTTATAAATGTTTGGCAGTTTCACCACATGCGTTTTATCCCCCTTATCTGTGGGTGCTTGTGGTGTTAGATTCAGTCAGGAAACCGAAACTTCCGGCAGATACAATTCTAACCCCCGCGATTCTAACAGCTTTCCGAAACATGCGTTTTTATCTGCGCAGGCATTGTCTTAGTCGCGATCAGCAAATTGCGTTCCATCAAGATAGTGTCCGTAAAACAGAAAGAACCGTTTGACATAATTTAAAGCAAATATACTGTGAGATTTTTTATTACCGGTAAATGGTCGTTCATGAAACGTCATGTAGCTGCATTTACAAAGGCGGCTTGTAAAGTTAACAATATTGCTCAAATCCACTGCTTAGTTTTATGAACCTCATATGGTCTCCTCTTAACACCGTAGAGAAATGCATGGTTTTCTGTACACGGAAAATATACAGCTTGTAGATTTGAAACCCTGAATGCAAGTGTAACAGCAGGTCGGGTTCAAAATTATTCGGGAATTAAAAGAGTTTTTTAAAACCGAATTCTACTCTTCTTTTCAGTATGAAATTGGAAGAAGACTTGATTTTCTACCGAATCGATAAAAGAATGAATATTTTTGCATGCCTTCCATGCAATATAATTGCATTATCAAGGACATCGAAAATCAATGAGAAAATTGCATGCTACATAATCAGTCATTTTTTTCAGAGTATAGATCTTGCATGCAGCCAAAAATAAGTTCTTTCGAAAGCCGACACCCTGGGGTAACTGGATCATTATGGGTTTATGCTTCATCCTGATTATTTTTACAACACTACTTAAATTATCTTTTCGAATCGAGAACGCCCTTCGAAATTTTGGTTGACATTTTGTGAGTTAGGACATCTACTGTATGTATTGGACCCCTGTACCATCAGGAAGTTCCTGATTGTTCTAAGTTTCCTCATGCTTTATGGGGTGGTCGGACTAAAAAATCCCCGAAAATTTGAAGTCATTTTGTAAACTGGCCATTTGAGGCAATGGTGTTTTATGATGCATAATAACTTAGTCCGTTTAGCTCAATGTAGTATAAGGTAAATAAAACTTAAATGCCCTAGAAGAGTTAAACTTCGTCATTGCATGCTACTTTGGGTTTACGCAAGATTTTAAACCTTTCCCTAAGTTCGGTATTTAAACTTTTATTGATTATTGTCACATCTAAGTAAGCAATGGTCCGTTAACCTACGCGTTCGTCGCCTGAGCTGGGACGTTCAACATCTCGCCGTACAAATAAATGTCCACTTCGCGATTTCTCAATTTCAGAGGCGACTGTTGAATTAGTTGTTCGATGTCCTCTTTGCTGTTGTAGCTTCTGTTCTTGTGCTCGCATTGAATTTAATTGCAGCCGTATGATTCTCATCCATTTTTGTTTTCTAGACGGCGTCCTTTGTTCCTCCATAGGAGTTTTCGGAATAAGAGGTAGATAGTCATCTCTCTCAATTCCTACTGAGGTTTGTGCCATTCTGGGGATATTACCAAAGTCTAATGTAGGTTGGACCGGAGAAATAGCTGCCGCATGACACGCCGAGTTTGCAAGCTTTACCGTGCAAGTTGTGTTTGGTATGACCACCGGTATCTCATTTAGTGGTTCGATGACAGCCGGTACTTTTAAAATCTGATGTCCTGGTTCCTTCATGGACATGTGTTTTCAGTAGCAAATGTGCGCTTATGCAGAAAACATCGATATAACAATTCTTTAAATGTTTGCCCTGGAAAATAATAAGCGCTGTCCTTCATATATACATTACTGTCGCGCCTAGCGTCCCTGTCATTTGAACAACGGATCGCAGTGGTTAGGATTTTAATTAGGACACTCGGAAGCGATGAGTTTACGTTGATTGGCCAGAATTCTGAGCCAACTGTATGCAGCACAAGACATGGAACGTAATTCCACTAAAAAGTAATATTTATTGGGCGCAAAAACCTCCCAATTATGTAGTGTCCAATTAACCTTTGTGTTGATGCCTGTCGGTTGCTGCGATCTGTTTACTTGGCTTTGCGCTTACTGGGCACTTACACGCCCCGCTTTCAAGCTAATAAACTACAACTTGTGTCGTTGCTCAGACTTGAAAGGCAATGCTAACTCTGCCGGTCTTAATTGCAGTCTCGATAAAGAAAACTGTTTATTCCAATGTTACTTAGCCCTGCATGGGCTAATAATTTGAAAGCCAGGGTAAATGTGCTCCTGTGAAATGTTAACTGGCATTCCAAAATACGTTTGGCAACCACATGTCGTTAGTCCTGCATTCAGGCTCTCCAAACTTCAAGCTGTTAGCACCCCACTGAGATGCAATCGTAATTTTCTTTTACACAAGTTAGATGGCGTCATAAATGCTCCACAAGAAGTTGCAATGGATATGAATCATTTTTGTCCACTATAAAAATAGCATCAACAAGCGTGCTGATAAGATGCTGCATGAGTAGGCAGTTATGGAATTCAAAATTAATAAGTACTAATATTTGAACTTGAAAGATACATTCTCTCTAAGTATAGAATTTAAAGCGGTTGAGATTTTCTTGTAATTAATAAGCAGATGGAATATTTCGTCTTAACCCTCTGTAAAATATATTTAACTGTGTAAGACCACGGAAAGCCGATTTAAGAATTCCGTACCGATTAACTGGTCACTGTGGCAAATTGTGGTTTAGGCAGGCATTCCGATGAGCTGACACATCTTGCGACTATGCCGAATGATGGTTACTATTAACTGCTACTTAAATTGTATTTTCGAATTAAAATGTATTTCAGAATTGTAGTCAACGTTACATGAGATAACAAAACACGCAAAACAAACTCAAGATATTTAAACAAGATTAGCGAATAGCTTGGGAAACCGGCTGCTATTATATTTTTTCGCCGGAAATAAATGCTGAATTTGAAATGAACTAATAATAAATTTTGGCAGTTTACCGGATAGAAAAATATTAATTTCAATGCAGACAATCTATAAAATGTTAGCTCTCCGGTCAAAGTTAATTTACCTTTGCGTGGTCGCGCATACCATAATGTTAATGCATTATACAGGATCGCATTTAAAATGTATCCTATTTAGCGCAAGAAAATAGGAAACTCTTTGTCAGAGCCCTTTCAATGATACTGATGCCAAAATCCCTCGTTTAAATGCACCGCAGTGTTTAATGATCTACACAGATTCTGCATTTATTCATATCAGCCAAAAGGTTGTTAGTTTTCTAAAACACTGCCATTCTGCGACGACTGAATTAATCATAGTCCCAGATTTGTACTTCAAGTTAAACACAACAATCGAGGAGGAGGTGAAAGACACGTTAATACCCACATCGAGCACTCTTTTGGTGCTTTAGGTCGTTGGGCTTTCGGTGCTGACGGAGATTTTCTGCGTCAGTAACCCCCCGGGAATCGCCAGACGTCTTCTTAAGCCTTGAGTTGCACACAAACCGCATAAATGTATAAACGCACTGTATGGTTGCAAAAATACCACCTGGAGGCCGAGAAATGGAAAGATGATTATAGAACAACGATGATGGATGCGGCCGTCGATCAATTAGAGGTTCGCCCAACCAATACCACCAATAGATTTACGTTCCATAGAGACGTACTCCTTTCAATGGTGTGTCATGACCTGCTTATTTCATGATTAAGCAGACACACATTGAACCGGTAAACGCAAAGTTTTTCCTTCCTTCACATTAAAACGCAGGCCTATTAAGACGGGGTGCTTAGACAAGCAGTGGTCGTGCAAATAATTGGGGATTCGATGAAAGCACTTGAAAGCTAGACTTTCGCATTACCATTACGTTAATCAACAACATAGCTTATGAAATCGCGACAGTTTGCGACCTGAAGGATGTTGACTAAACAAACTTCGGGTTAAAATATAAGATATTTTAATCATAGTAAATGTTCGATCGCATTCTAACTGCGTCGTACAAAACTGCGTGCCAGGAAGGTCCGCCTTTTTGAAGGTGAATGGAGCAGCATTCCTTTCAAGTGTATATAATGTGACTGTGTAAGACTACAGTCGCTTAGGCGAATCAAAACGCCTTGCGTTATAGAAAAAATGTGTATGCCCAACGAAACAGATGAAACTCTTTAAAACTGGAGCTGAGCACGAAACATTTGGACGATATTTGTTTTCCGAATAAATACATCATACTACCGCAGACATACATCGTCAATGAACAGACAGGCGAAATCATTTGTACCTGCGCATACAGTGAGTGACCTATCTCATGAAATATTGGCTGAAATTCTAAAATGCGTTTTCCATTAGGAAGGATTACTCAGGCGTGGTTCTAATACTAATTATCTTGCACCATAATCATATAACATTTCGGACTCGATAGGATGTCAGCTTTTAAATACACTGTTTTTTAATCTTCTGTAGAAACCGCAGTCGGTAAAAAATGACTACTTGAGTGGCATGCATTTTTCTCATGGATTTTCAATGGTCTTGCACATTCAAATATATCTTATAGGAATCACGAATAAAACCGCGCTTTCCTTCATACACTGAATAGAGACTCACGTCTTCTTTATATTTTATACTCAAGGAAGGAGTATTATTAGGTTTTTAAAAAGTTACTAATTATGAGATTTTTTAAGACCACTCAATGTCCGTTCGCATAGCATCGTACCAGGACGTTTACACAGCTCCTCATGAAATGTACAACATAGTCCGCCTCCGTTGCAAAAATTTATAGACTCTGTATAATATTTTTTTAAAGGCATAGAAAAGTATGAGATTTTTTTACGCGGAACGCATGCACCTTGTAGACCGATAGGATTAAGCACTAATGCAACGAATGATCCGGCTCCAAATTATTCGGCAATTAGAAAACTTTTTTTAAACCTAATTATACTTCTTCCTTGAGTATAAAATATAAAGACGATGTGATTCTCTATTAATTGACTAAAAGAAAGCATGTTTTTATTCGTGGTTTCTATAAGATGTATTTGAATTTGCAAGACCATTGAAAATCTGTGAGAAAGATGCATACCACTCAAGTAGTCATTTTTTACCGACTACGGTTTCTACAGGAGATTGAAAAGCAGTGTATTTAAAAGCTGACATCCTACCGAGTCCGAAATGTTATATAATTATGGTGCAAGATAATTAGTATTACAACCGCGCTTATGTAATCCTTCCTAATGGAAAACGCATTTCAGACTTTCAGCCAATATTTCATAAGATGGGTCACTCGCTGTACTTGACGTATGTGATCATATAGCATTATTTTCTCAGGTCGGCTTAAGACAACAAATTTGAAAGTCAAACTACGGAATTTCAAAGCAAAGACAATCAAGTTGTCGTCCTATGTTTTCTACCCCAAATAAAATTTGCTTCTTTTACAATGAAATCCTATAAGGCACAAGAGCAACTTTAGATTTTGAACACTTTTTTACCAAAACGCCGTCTATTTACTTCGTTTGTTTGCCTTTTGATTCTTCCAATAGCAAATAACATGCATGGTTATTAAGAATGACGGCATGGCAAAAGATCAGGGCGAGTTGAAAATCAGTAATACGTATACTAAGGACTGAACGACTAAAAACGTTATCGGCTTTATGTCCTCAAGCATTCATTATTTTCAACGTGATTACTCAGAGCCCGATTTAGTTGGTTCTTTGTAAACGTAAGAAGCCCATGCCACTCAAATTGAATACTGCCTGATATAAACAAGTCAATATAACCTCGGGGGTTTACGAATGTTGGACACTTGCGTTATGGCTTTGAGCATTTGCGCACGGACAATAGTGCAGCTTCAGAAATAAAAGAAGCAAATAGCACAGGCTAGGCTCAAACATTTCGTCCAATCAACCGTTTCATCTCCGAAGATGTTTGTCTGGGCTTTGTTTACCGTCTGAAGAAGTTTAAGAAGTCAAAGCATTGTTTTCGTCAAATTAGGCAGAATACGCAGCATTCGATTTGCCGTATCATTTTTTACATTTCATTCAACTGCATAGAGTCATTCCGTACATAAACAATTAACTGTATACTATAATCTCTAAAAGGGACCACATGTAATGGTTAAATGAAAATTGGGATTACTGGTCAGACAAGTAGAAAGGAAGAAATTGTATAAATGAGCATATTTACCCCCGTAGGAGGTGCAAAAACAATAACGGCACGATCTGCAGCAATTATATTTATTACAATCAATCTAGACGAGTCTTCATAGGTTAAATAATTGCGTTTCAAACACCAATGCGGAATATCGGCTAGTCAACTATGAGTTATGGGCTTAAACGCAGGTTGACGCTAGAATCAATCGCTACCGTAGTCCGTTTAAGCACTTTGAATTCCAGTTGCTATATAATCCTAGGTTGGATGAAATGAAATAGTTCCC